GCGTACTCTTTCTTCCTGAATTTCCTTTTCTTTGGCTCTTGAATGAAATAGTCCCATCCTTGATTATTAGCAAAGCTGATAGCACTTTCCTTGGTCTCGAATGAAAGCCTAGTACCTTGCATGTAGTCACTCGAAGATTGGTACCCTATCAAATCATTCTCCCACCTGTTTCCTCTCGGAAGCACATCCCAATCAATTTTCCAGTACTTGGAATTGTTGGCAGACGATTGTGTGGCTGCTTTTGCTTCCTTATAGATACGAACCATTCTGTTTGCAGCAAGCTCCGCTGGAGCTCCACTAATGATTTGCTTTTGATTTGAGGATTCTTGCAAAACCTGATTTACGGAGGAGACGGTTTTTTCATTGCGCAAAGCACGCACTGTATGGAACAAACGAGGCCCTCTAATCATCGGAATCAACAAGGGATAATATTTTACTCCACATTTGTATCCTCAGGTTCATTCAAGTGGTGTAAAGATGTTTAATTAAGACAGATACGGTATAGAAAAAAAATGGCTGGGTTGCAATATTTTATGATTCCAGATCATTTGTTAGTCGGTCTATGTCGCAGTTGATTTTGAGTGCATTGCGGGACGTGGTTCCAACGCTGCCCGAACCTTATCCGAAGGAAGTCGTCGAATATGCGAATTACATGTATATATCCTCGAAACAGACTTGTTCTCTGGCTGCCCAAATGGAAATCGCACGGTTTCATCTCTGTTGTTTTCTTGCTGTCGAAAAACTCAAAGATAAGTTTGATCTCCCAGACCCCAACTTGAACCGTATACCAGCTCCCAAGCGTAAGGCAGTTGCTGTCCTGGAGGACTTTCGAAATCAATTATCAGGCCGCAAGAGACAGGGGGAACCTCCTACAACTCCTTCAAAGAGAAGAATCATTGAACTAGCAACACCAGAATCGACACCTGGCAAGAAGCGCGCTAATGCTTTCACTCCAACATCGACGCCCTCAAAAACGAGGAATGTGCTGGCAACTCCTGAGAGCACACCCAGGAGCTTGAAAACGGAAATGAAAAGCGACGAACCATTGGATGTCGGGTCTGCAGCCAAGTCTTTGCAGGACAAATTGCTTGCTGCAGCAGATGAAGTAAAGGGCCCTTCCAAAAGAGGACGCAAAAAGGGATTCAAGATGCTGTCGATGGCGGACCGATCTTTGAACGACGATACGATTATCACCACTGCTCATTTGATCTCGTTTTGCAATAAGTTTTACTTGCCAGAAGACATTACAAAGAACATACTAAAGACATATACAAATTACTACTACCGTACGAAAAGTCCATGGGGATTGTTATGTGGACTGGTCTCGATTGCATTCTTGAGGCTGAACCGAGAAAAAGTCGATGCCAAAATGGGATTCAAGACACAGTTCTTCAAGAACCTACAAGTGCACGAAAATGGCGGCCTCAAATATCATGAACTGCTGGAATGGGTCGCGCTTGTTGAAAAATTATGCGAAACAGAGAAGTGGGTACGCGATCTGGAGGACAGAGACCTGTTGACAACCAAATCCAAGCTCCCATTTGGGCTGCCGACACTTAACTCCTTCATCGGAAACGCGGTATGTTATTATTCCAGTGGTGCAACCCGCGATTATGAAAATTGGATAGACAGCATCAACAAACAGAGGAGCACCTAGAAAAATATGTACATGTAAAATATTTTTTTTGAAAAATTAAGATTACCTATTCATGTTCGAGATTGAGGATTATCATACTAAACGTCATGGAGATCCTCCGTCGAATGGCCACTCCAAAAAACAGAAATATGATGATATATCCGTGGATGATGTAGATTCGGTCTTGGGGTCTGAGTTAGGCGACTTTACAAAGCCAGATCATTCTAGATGGCAGCATATAGTCGAAAAAGTTGTCAAATCTGTGGTTTCGATCCACTTCGCTCAGGTGGTTAACTTTGATACAGAAAGCGCTCTTTGCAGTGAGGCTACAGGATTTGTTGTGGACGCAAAACTTGGAATAATTTTGACTAATAGGCATGTTGTTGGGCCGGGACCCTTTATCGGATATGCCGTGTTTGATAACCACGAAGAATGCGAGGTCAAACCAATCTACAGGGATCCAGTGCACGACTTTGGATTTCTTAGATATAACCCATCAGATATCAAATACATGGACGTTGGTGAATTACAGCTAAGGCCAGATCTCGCCAAGATCGGAGCAGAAATAATGGTCATAGGTAACGACTCGGGTGAAAAACTCTCCATACTTTCCGGTTTCATCTCGAGACTCGACAGAAATGCTCCAGACTATGGAATCAACTCATACAACGACTTCAACACAGAATATTTACAGGCAGCGGCTTCGGCTTCGGGAGGGTCGTCAGGCTCCCCTGTTGTCAATATAGATGGCCACGCAGTGGCTTTACAAGCAGGAGGTAATACGGAAACCTCTACGGATTTTTTCCTGCCTGTCTATCGAGTTCTCCGCGCTCTGAAATGCATCCAGAATAATGAGCCGATCACAAGAGGAAGTATTCAAGTGCAATGGCTATTAGAGCCGTTTGATAAATGTCGACGTCTTGGACTTCGCGCAGAGACAGAAAGACTGATGAGGGAAAAGTTCCCGAGCCTCAATGGTCTTCTAGTCTCTGCCGTCACGCTACCTGAAGGCCCTGCTGACGGGCTGATCAGAGAAGGTGACTGCTTGATATCCATCAATGGAGAATTAATTTCCACATTCATCACTGTGGATGAAATTCTAGACACTCATGTTGGTAAAGAGATAGAGATAGTTATTCAGAGAGGTGGCAAAGACCTAATTGTTCGCTGTACTGTTGGAGATCTTCACGCAATTACGCCTAGACGGTACGTCAACGTTTGCGGCGCAACTTTCAGTGATCTAAGTTACCAACTCGCTAGAATTTATGCAGTGGCAGTGAAAGGTGTTCACGTGAGCAATGCAGCTGGCTCTTTTGTGCTTGGCAACAATGTTCCTAACGGATGGCTGTTGGACTCGATTGACGATAAAGAAGTGACCAATCTCGACGAATTTATCGAGGTTATGAAGTCAATCCCAGACTCTGCCTTTGTAACCGTCAAGTGCCGCCACCTTACAGACCTTCATGTCCCAATTATCAAAATTATCCAAATCGATCGTCACTGGCACTCCAGCTTCCGTTTAGCAGAAAGAAACGACACGACGGGTCTTTGGGATTTCACAACTTTGCAGGAGAAACCACTACCACCACCAGCTCTCACGCCGAAAACCGCCAAGTTCGTGGGCCTTCCGATCGAATTTGAAGGTTGCAAGCAACTTGATCGTTCTTTGGTGATGTTGAAGAGCACCATACCTGTTCCACTGGATTCGTTCAGTGGTCAGTCACGCAAGTCGTACGCGGTTGTGATTGATGCTACCAACGGATATCTACTCGCTTCAAGGTACTGTGTGCCTCATGACCTCTTGGATGTCACTATGACCGTTGCAGAATCGATCATAGTACCAGCTAAGGTTGTCTTCTTACACCCAACCAAGGGGTATGCCATTTTGAAATACGATCCCAAACTAATCTTGGCTCCTTTGCAAACTCCTAAGTTCGGCGAGAAGCCCTTGGGAAGAGGCGACAAAGTGGTGTTTATTGGTCACAACAGAGCCCAAAGAGTCGTTGTTGACCAAACAAAAGTCAGTGATATTGGAATCATACATCTTCCAAATAATGTTACTTCCCCAAGATTTAAGGCCTCCAACTTCGAGGCCTTGTTAATTGACTCTAATTTAGGCCAGCAATGTGGTTCTGGGGTTCTCTGCGACTCCAGTGGCCTTGTTCGCGCATTTTGGCTCGCCTTCGATGCGGACGAGGACAAGACCTATTCCATGGGGCTGGATGCCACAGATGTGCTCTGGGAACTTGAAAACCTCAAGAGTCAACAGGTCCCGGAGCTCAAATTCATTGACGTTGAATTTGGTAACATCCCGATCGTTAGTGCTAGAATAAGTGGTGTTCCGCAGGAATGGATCACGAAAATTGAGGAAAAGTCTGCAGATCAACCCAGACTGCTCAGCGTTCCAAAGGTAAGCATTTCGCTCGATAATAAGCCCTCTTGTGGCCTGAGACATGGAGATATTGTGCTGAGTGCCAATAACCGGGTCATCACACAATTCCGTGATATTGACCATGTTATCAGAGACCTAGGCGGGAATGAAAACGAAATCGTGTTCAAAATCGTTAGAAACAAGCAAATCATGGACATTAATGTTCCATTGGTTTCTAGCAGCTCCTTTGTGACCAAGCACATGGTCTATTGGGCCGGTGCGGTGTTACAGGAGCCTCATCATGGCGTTAGACAAGTGATCAGACAACTACCGTCCAAAGTTTATTGTACGGCCATGGCACCAGGATCTCCCTCTAGATTATACACTATTGGCGTCACCAATTTCATCACGCATGTTAATGAAAAGCCAACTCCAACATTGGACGAGTTTGTTAAGGTCGTGAAAGAAATCAAAGATAACTCATACTGCAAGTTGAGAATCGTGTCTTTTGATAACGTGCCATTTGCACAAACGCTCAAGGTCAACTACCACTACTTTGAGACGATGGAGATGAAAAACGAGGAGGGGTGGCGTGAATACGGCGAGTTGGACTCCTCCACCTTGCATGCATAGATCGATAGTTTATAAAATTGCAATTCGTTAGCACTTTCTGTGTATTAATTTTATTTACAGATCTGCTGATAGTTTCACAGATACGGCATTAGACGCTTGAGCTGCTTCTCTTGAATGTGGTTAGCGTAAGTAGTTCCTGTTCTCCTCTTCAAAACGCTGTGCGGATGACCCGCGTTCCCGTGCTTGCGGCCCTGCAACCCACGCTTGTACCCTGTACCTGTTTTGCGCCATCTTCTGTAAGCCGCACGGTGCGTTTTCGCAAGCCCACGGGTCAGTTGGGGAAGTGAAAATTGGACGAAAGGGCGAAGAAGCGAAAACATGAAAACGGATGAACAAAATTTTGTGAAATTTTTATAAATCTTATTCGCTCTCTGAGGAATAGCCGAATTGAGACTGAATCGGTTTTTCTGGAACGCCTGATTCCTCCAGTCTTTGGTCGTTGATGGGTTTACCCTGTTGTGACAGAGTCTTAGGAATCCGACCTGTGATGTCTGAATTGGTGTCCAGCAATCTAGCGCGATCAGAGGTATTATCATATGCTGGGGCTTTTCGCCTGCTGATCCTGTAAGCTCTGTCTTTCGTATAATTTCTTCGTTTGCGGCCATCTATAGCCTCGACCTTTTCGAGCTCGTCATTGATGGCGCTATTTCCTTCTTGTTCGCGTGCTCTTCTAGCTTGCTTATAAGTCATTATCTCTCTTTCGATGTCTGCTTTCTCCTTCAACCTCTTAGACCTTCGTTCTTCTTCGAGTTTCCCGTAGTATTCCATATCTATTTGAGTCCATTTGTAAAGAGAGTTCTCCTCCTCCATGCTGTCCTTGTACTCCTTGTATTTCTGCTGCCTGCTCTCCTTGAGCTGCTGCGCAAGCGTTCTCCGCGCCTCCTTGCTCTTCTCTTGCTGGAAAGCGCTCAGTAGCTTCTCCTCGTGTGCTTCCTGCTTCGCCAAGTCCTCGTCATTAATCTCATCTGCCGCCACAAAGCGCGACATAAATCTGTGTCCTTCACGCTATTTTTCAATTTTTTTAAAAATATCTAATTGCTGGGTATTTTATTTATCTGCATGGTCTTCCATAGAAACGCGTACCGTGGGCCATCTCGAGAAGACGCGCTATACGGTGGGTCATATCGGGCACATGGTAGATACCCGACTCCCCCAGATACGATAAGGAGCGATAGTTCACCTCTCTTGCCTTATTATGACTATTCATCCGTTACTAGTCAAAATCATCATATGGCCAAAAGAGCTGCTCAAGCTTGTAAAGACAAACGACTCCGCAGCTCCAAAATTACATACGACCCGGATTTGCGAAAGGACCCATCAAAAGGCTCAAAACCCATATACATCTTTACTGACCGCGACCGAGGGCTTTGTGAGGACCCACGACCAAAAGCGCTCCAAAAGATACCAAAACTACTGCGGCGCCCCCACTCCTCTTTACTCATACCCAAGTATAAGTACGATAAGTACTCTGTGGGCCCCGAGCCATCGTCGCAACTTGTCATCTGGAACTTTCCAACCACAACTCCGCTCGTGATCATCAAAAATAACTTCGCTCAATTTGGTAAAATCCTGGAATTGAAAGGGATTGACGACCCCTTAACGGCAGTCCCACTGGGTATATGCGTGTTGAAGTATGATGGAGATCCAGATTCAGCACATCAAGCGGCCACCAGAGCCGTCGCGGCAGTGCACAAAAAGTTGCAGATAGGAGGTCAGTACCTGCGATGCGGACTCAACAACAACGATCAACTGTTCAACATTATCTACAATAGAATTCTTGACGCCAAACAACAGCAGCTAATCAAAGAAAAAGAAGAACGGAGACGCCAGCAGGAACTGCAAATGATGCAGAAACGAGACGAACAAAAGAGAGAGAGGGAAGAGCAGAGACGCGAGCGAGAAGAACGCAAAAAGCTCAATAGGTCAAGTCGAGATCAGCTGCCCGTGAAGCTCTCAGCTCATGACCGTCATGTGAGAACTTTGTCCTCGGTCACTCTTCCGTTCAACTTCGATAAGCACATTGCAAATAGGCCATTTCTTCTCATTCCGGATAAGTTTGTCAACACGCGCAATGTTAATTCCTCAGATATACGAAAACTTCTTTCTGGGCATGAGTTTGATCGGATCTTAACTCATAAGTCGGGCTTCTACGTCGTGTTCAATAATATCGCAGATGCCGAAAAATGTTTTGACGAAGAAGACGGAAGACACTTCTCGAAATACAAATTATATATGGATTTTGTTGTTCCTGATGAGCTGATGAGTCAGACAAAGATTGGTGAAAGAATCGGCGAGACTGGACAAGCAAAAGCGGTGCTGATCAGAGAATTTCATGACTACCTGCTCAAAGATTTGAGAGAGAAAGTAATTGGCCCGAAGCTGCTTTCTTTCTTGGATAGCGACAAGTACAAATCAGTTTTAGAAAAGCATTTGAAGGAAAAAGAGGATAGCAAAGAAACTAAACCAGACGCTTCAAAGGGGCCTGCGGGTGTTTCTTCATTCACCGTTCAGCATCAGTCTATCCCGATATCAACGTTATCTACTTTCAGGCGGAAGCCTGTGGAGAAAAAGTACAAACGTAAGATTAATGCTGTTCCTATGGCTCACGCGCTCAACTATTCTGACAACGAATCAGAGGACGAGGACCAGAACAAATCTTCCAAGAAGCAAAAACTGCTTGCCATAGAATCCACTTCTTCTTCGGACGAGGAAGATATGCAAGAGCTTCCAGAATCTAAAGCCACTTCCCAGCCAACTTCGCCTGAGTCACTGGATCGTCAAATTGATGAATCTGAGCCTGATCAGAAAAAAGATCTTTTGGTCAGTGAGCTCTACAAGCCTTCCCATGATGTAGGAACGACAGTTTATGATGACGATTACAGCAATATGGACTTTGACTTGAACAGCCTGCAAGCAGTTATTCATGATGAAGAGGATTTTGTGTTCGCAAAGAAAGCATTCGAAGATCTACCAAAGAGCGAGGAGATCAAAAATGTCAAACTCTGGGCATGGAAACACAAAGAATACGCGAAAAAAATCAAGCATCTAAGCTCAATGGCCGAGACAAGCGCAGAAGATGCGGAAGCTATTGAGTTTTCACAAGCAATTTTGAAAAATGATAAATTGCAAAATTCAACTGGCAGCTTCCGCACTCAGGGCTACTATAAAATACCTGATAAGATGAAGAGCGAGTACCTTTTGCATCGCCGAAAAGCTCACAGGCCTCTGAATACTGTTCAAAACGAAGACGAGAGTGAGACGCAAGCAGTTCAGAGTTCTAGGGTCAATAGAGCTAATAATCGTCGGTTTGCGGCTGACATCAGCGCCCAAAAGCAGATGTTAGGCTCTGAAACAGATATTTTGGATCTGAACCAGCTCACGAAACGGAAAAAACCTGTCCAGTTTGCCAGATCTGCTATCCATAATTGGGGATTGTATGCTTTAGAGCCGATTGCTGCGAAAGAGATGATTATAGAGTATGTCGGAGAGCGAATTCGGCAACAGGTGGCTGAAGTCAGAGAAAAGAAGTACCTTCGATCAGGCATCGGCTCATCCTACCTCTTCCGTATTGATGAAAATACCGTTATCGATGCATCCAAGAAGGGAGGCATAGCTCGTTTCATTAATCATTGCTGCGTGCCTTCCTGCACAGCGAAAATCATCAAAGTGGAAGGAAAGAAAAGAATTGTTATTTACGCTCTACGCGATATTGCGGCCAATGAGGAGCTCACTTACGACTACAAATTCGAAAGGGAGACCAACGATGAGGAAAGAATTCCATGTTTGTGTGGGGCCCCAGGCTGTAAAGGGTATTTAAACTAAATTATGCAATAAAAGACTACGGGTTAGAAGTTGCTCCCTATATAGTGGTTGCTGATATATCGAGGTACAATCTATCTACTCTATCATTCTAATTCAGTAATGTGATACTAGCTAGTTATATTTATCCCGAGTAGACGGCTTCTAATAATGAAGACGTCTCCTAGATCGACAGGACGGAATATATTCTTAGTCTGTTATCAGGCTCCATTTATTTATTCTCAATTTAGAGAATAACAGGAAATCTCATGTAGTCCACCGATTTCGATTATGCCAAAGGATTTAGCATCAAAGCACTGGAAGTCGTTGTCAAGACTAAAGATGGCTTCGCTTGAGTCAGTATTATATAAGCATGTTTGGACCTTTAGCTAATCAGCTGAAAATATTTCGTATAATCAAATTCAGCTACGTTAAAATTTTCCACTCATTATGTCTGACAACATGGAATTGGATGAAAACAACAGGGTAAGTATGCAGCTTACGATAGAAGTCTAACATTTTAGGATCGTTCGAGATCACCTGTGAGGGAACAGTGGCGCCAGCGTTCTCGCTCGCCCCCACGTCGGAGCGAAAGAAGAGACGATAGACGCGGTTTCTCCTCTCGCCGAGGAGGAAGAGGAGGGCCGTTGCGTGCGAGAATTGGTAGCCGGTTTGAGTCTCGTGGTCGAGGTCCACGTGAGCATGAGTCGAAATCTAATAGAGTCTACGAAAATACGATCTTTGTTGGAAACCTTCCTTATCATACCACTTGGTACGATTTGAAGGACCTTTTTCGCGAAGTCGGTGAAGTCGTGCGTGCAGATGTGGTCACTTCTCGCGGAAGATCCCGCGGAATGGGAACTGTTGAGTTTGCCAACAAGGATCTTGTTCAAGAGGCAATTTCCAAGTTTGACCGCACAATGTACGAGGGCCGGGAGATTTTTGTTAGGGAAGATCTCCCTCCCCCAGAAAAAGAGACCCCTGTTCGTGAGGAAAGAAGACGAAATGCTCCTCCTCCTCCAGCCGAAGGATATGAGGTATTCATTGGAAATTTGCCATTCAGTGTGAGATGGCAAGACCTCAAAGACTTATTTAAAAGCTGCGGTCCAATTATTCGTGCTGACGTGAGAGAAGATCATAGAGGACGTTCTAAGGGATTTGGTACTGTGATTTTTGAGAACTCTGAGGACGCAGACAGGGCAATTGCTGATTTCAACGGCTACGATATGGATGGAAGACGCATTGAGGTGAGACTTGGAAAACAGTTCAATAAAGAACCCCAGGGACCAACCGAATCTAGAAACTCCGAGTTTGTCGCTGGTGTTGTGGGACAGGGTGAACCAAACGACACCATTTTCGCGGACAATTTGCCATGGGAGACGTCTGAGACGGATCTCTATGATCTTTTTGGAAGTATCGCTTCAGTCAAGCGTGCTGAACTGCAATTTGATGATCTAAACAGACCGGCGGGAAGTGCTGTTGTTCAATTCCAGGAACTTGACGGCGCCATTGCGGCAGTCAACCAGCTAGACAACTACGAATACGGCAGGAGACGCCTTCATGTCTCTTTTGCCAAGAAAGGAGATACCGTTTCCACTGAGCAAAATATGGACGTGGAGGCAGAATCTTCTCATCAGCCCGGTGCAGATTCCGAGCCTGGTCCAGAAGTTCCAGCCGTCGAGCCAACAGAGGCCGATGAACCGGCACCTGAACAAGAGATGGAAGAGGACCACATTGAAGAGTAATCGGATTACAAAAAAAAAAAACGTTTTGTCATAGAATTGTGTATTATTATTGCGAACTGCGATGTATTCTTCTAGGCGGGCTTGCAGGTAGGCTTCATGGCTGTCTCTATAAATCTAAGGAACCGTTGCCCATATTCGACCGGGGGTACAGCACTGATGGTCTCGCGCTTATGATTCAATGTGCGGAAAAATGTTTCTAGCTTTTTGAAAGTCGAATAGTTGGTTAAGCAATCGATGACTCCCATATAATACACAATAGGTAGCTCGTTATCTTGCTCGTCTGTAGCTCTAATACCGCCATCGCTGTCTAAGTATCCGTCGGATGCAGTAGAAGCCGACTGTTGTCGTATTTCAGGAGGATCAAAATTTGGTAGCAGGTTGTAGGGATCGTGCTGTGTAGCGAGAGTTATGTCATGTATTCCAACCAGAAATGAGTAGTCCATAATATTGAGCGTTTCAAGAAGGTGGACGTCACTTCTTAGTTGGTTTGCAATCTGCTTACGTTTGGTGGGTCCAAAATTGAGTCGGTGATGATCCTGCAGCCAGTTGAGATCCTTTTGGACTATAGACGTCTTTCCTTGAGCTTTAGCGGCGTTCACATCAGTGAAGCGCCCATGCGTTGAACCCTTCAGATCAAACTTCTCGTGCAAGTCTCTGTGTGGAGGGAATATGTTGTTCATCACCAAGAAGTGAACTTTGTGAATTCCTGTGGTGAAGTGCATCTTGAGACGGTGGAGACCGTAGAATTGGCATATGAATGTTTGTGGATTCTTTTCCACATATTCGTAGTATTGCTTGAGACATTTGCGAAGATGCTTATGTTCTGAGTGATGAATAGTTTTGATGATAAATTTGTAATCTCTCGAGTAGTAGAAAAAGGATCCACTTTTCCCAGGAGAGCCTAACTCAGTCAGACTCACACGTTCAGTTAGCGATAACAGATAATCCGCCTGATCAATATTAAACCTGCTACGCAGATGACGGAAAACTTCGGGTGCGTAATCCTTAAATTTGAATTCATATTTGGTAGATGGTGTCATGGTATTCCCTTCCATGTCAAAAATTAGTTTTGAAACCTTCGTAAAATCCTCATCTTTAATAGGCCCTGGAAGCTTTGAACATCTGGATACAGCCACTCGGATTCCAGTGATCATATTATATGCCATGACATAGTTGTGGTGACCTTCCACAACACGCTGTCCAGGGATCACATATCTGTCATTAGACTTTGCTCGCGACTTTCGTTTTTGGGGCCCAATGTTGAACGAATTTCCTCTTGTAAAACGATGACGACTGATCACTGTCTGTTGATTATGTCTATCAATACTTGTGGCTTCAGCTTGTGAATAAGCTTCAGGTATGGCAATCGTATGTGACTCTGTATACCCCAGCCTGTCCATACCACTAGAGTGTGCTGTTGTGTGTGTATACTGTGATTGACGCTCTATGGTAATGTTCATTTCGTTTCTGTAAGGGACTCGTAAGGTTTCTCGGGATGGTCTTGAATTAAGATCTAACTTGGTGGGAGCAATCGCTTCATCGACGCTGATTCGCTTCCCATTGGAGGGTTGTTGAGCCATTTCATACTCTTTAATATTCATTTCGCCATTCGGAAGCCCTGTAAGGGTTTCCAATGCGGCCGGGTCTGAAGGTGCTGCGCCTAAATGCCCATTCTCTGGTATTGTTTCCGTAGTTATAGATGTTACCGCCAAACCTGCGCTCTCTGCTTCAGGCATTCTAGGGTATGCAGACACTGTTGTCCTAAAAACTAGACTAGCTGCCGAATTTTCAGATCCTTCTGACTGTCTGCTGCTTGGTCTAAGCACAATAATAGAACGTGAAGTGCTAGTATATTAAAAAAAAAAATCAAGTGTTAAATCTCGCTAGGTTTGCGGGCATGAAATCTGAAAAGTTACGAGTAACATAGCTGAGCACTTCTCCTGTATATAAAAGCCCAAATATTTGCTCTAAATTTGCCATGATACGTGTGGGGCCTAAACTTGTTTTGAAAAGGTTCCACAGCTTGGTCAAGCCACGCCAAGTTGTCCGCATTCCTCTGAATATACGCGCTCCTCTCCAGTCGATCCAAGCATGTCAAAACAAGGAACAAGCTTCTCTCGAGGAGACTCCCGGGGAAGCTAAAGGCCGCAAGAAAGCGAAAAAGAAAGCGAAAACGAAAACAGTCCAGGATGACGAAATCGACCAGTTTGGAGACCGTGGTGCCAAACCTGACGTCGAACTCACGTATTTCTATCAGACCTTGAAAGATATTGTCGACCAATATCCTGAAGATCAGTACGTCGTCTTGATCCAGGTTGGATCGTTCTACGAGCTTTATTTTCAGCAGGCTGAGAAACATGCGTCTATGTTGGGCCTAACGTTGAGCAAGAGAGTTCTCAAAAATTACGAGATATCCTTTGCTGGCTTTCCTGACTATAAACTTGAAAAATACCTCCAGATCGCTTTCGGCCAAGGCCTTAAAGCTGTTGTTTGTGATCAGCAAACCACTGCGCAGAATGTGATTGTGAGACCAGTGACTAGGCTCGTCACCCCAGGAACTATCATTGACGAGGCATTGAGAGATTATCATCGCACGAACTATTTACTTGCTATCCAATTTCCTGCAGACCCGTTTAAGAAAGATGCGCTAGGTCAAAAGATAGGTTTATGTTGGGTAGATGTTGGCCTAAGTCAATTCCATGTGCTTGAGACTAACATGAATGAGCTTATGGCCAACATAACTAGGATCAATCCAAGTGAAATTCTAATAGCCAATGATCTGGATATCGATTCTCTGATCACAGGAAAATGGTTTCCCGAATTGGGAGAACTAAAGAAGTACTATATAAGCAGGTACTCGCTGCCGTCAGTCAGTACATCACTTCTCGATTTTGCGAACCGCTTCTCCGAAAATAAGCGGCTTGTCCAAAGCCGTCTGGAAAAGCTTTCGCAAAAAGAAGCTGGAGCTGCAAAAATTTTGCTGCACTACTTGAACGAGTGTCTGCCGTTCTACAAACTGAGCTTTGACTTGCCCAAACGGTCGTTGCCGAATACTCTTATGCATATTGATCCGCGCGCAGCACAAGATCTGGAGCTCACGGAGACCATCGTGGGTGGCTTCCGAACTGGAGCTCTTGCATCCATAATTGATAAGACGTGTACGGTACAGGGCTCCCGACTGCTTAATACGTGGCTTCTCTCTCCGTCCACCGATGTTGAGGAGATAAAGAAACGCCAAAAGTATATTGAGGTTTTTCTAGACAACCGCATGTTCGTTCAGGAGTTGATCCAGCTGTTACGCAAAACCACTGATTTAGGGCGAATTGTGCGCCGTGCAGATAACAAAAGGGCAGATATGGGCGAGTACTTGGAGTTGGGGCATACCATCATGATAATCGATGAAATTTACAAGATGGTGAAGGATTGTCCGGATAAAAAACTAGTCAATCTTGTCTTGCCTTTATTCGAAAAATTCAAGGAATATTCAGCTCTCATGAGCTTGTCTCAATCTATCATCAACACAATCAATCCTCAAACTCTTCGGGTGAAGATTGACACGAACAGAAACGACTCGGAAGTGCTCCGTAAGTACTGGTTTTTGAAGCCAACTGCTTCTTCAAGACTTGCAGAACTCAGAGACAAATATGATCAACTTGAGCTTCGTTTTCAGGCCCTTACACAACAACTGACAGCAAAATTTGAGAAATATGGTTATCAAGGAGGTTTTAACTTGATTCGTGACCCTCGGACCGGTGATTTCATTATTGATGTTCGGTCGTCTAGAAAGTCTTTTAAGAGCCTTGTCGACAATATGGACCTTCAGCTTCGTGAACGAACAAAGTCAAGTGCCAAATTCTGGACAATAGAATGGCAAACTTTAGGTATAGAGATGCTCTTTGTTGAGCAAGAGATTTTGAGAGAAGAAGAGAGAATTATATCTCTGATTCAAGAGACTCTACTCTCACTTTCTACAGAATTACGCCAGGTTGCTCCCATCATTGAATTTCTAGACGTGTGCTCATCATTTTATCTGCTAGCTTGGGAAAAAAGTCTTGTCAAGCCGACTGTGGACCGGAGTACCAAATTCGAGATAGAAAATGGCCGACATTTGGTGGTGGAAGAAGGTTTGCGTGGACGGGTGACTGGAGTCGAAAATTTTACAGCCAATAGTTGCACTCTGGATTCCGGCCGTGGATGGGTAATCACGGGCCCAAATATGGGTGGTAAAAGCACCTTCTTACGACAAAATGCATTGATTGCAATTTTGGCGCAGATAGGCTCGTATGTTCCTGCGACAAAAGCACATATCGGGATCATAGATAAGGTTTTCACTAGAGTTGGAGCTTCTGACAACATTTTCAGACATCAGTCATCGTTCATGGTTGAGATGAACGAAACTGCTATCATTCTGAGGGATTCTACGGAAAGATCGTTGGCTATAGTTGATGAGCTTGGCCGAGGAACATCAGCAGTCGAAGGTATAACTATCGCATATGCATCTTTGGCTCATCTAGTAAAGAATAAGAATTGCAAGGTGCTCTTTGCAACACATTTCGGTCCCGAGATCCACAAGCTAATGCAAGATGATAAGGAGCTAGAGCGGCGTACGGATTTCTATCAGACTACTCTGACCAGAATACATGACGGCGATCTGCCGATCGATGAAAAGCTCATTTTTGACCATAAACTTATTCCCGGAATCAGTTCCCATTCGCATGCTTTCGAAATCGCACAACTGGCTGGCTTTCCCTCCGATGCATTAGAGCTGGCCAGAAATACATACGTCAAAGCGACTTCAGGTTTATACAAAACTTAATAACATACATCACATGATCTATTAAATGGAAGTAATTATACACTTTCAGGGTCATACTCGTCGTCAGAGAGAGGACTCGCAGCCTTGTCCTGTAAAGTAGGATTTTGAGGTTCTGATTGTCGCTGCGATTGGGTTTGCGTTTGAGCTAGTTGGATGAACTGGCTGACTTGTTGAAAAACGCTTGGGTCAACTTGAGGCTGCGCATTCTGTGGCTGTTGGTAAGGATACTGATAATTTGGATATTGCTGATACTGGGGATACCATTGATATTGAGCATGTTGCTGATAATAACCTGTAGTGGAAGGAAATGACTGTTGTTGAGGATAGTATTGTTGTTGGACGGGGTTCACAAAATTCATAGGTTGATACATTTGCTGCTGAGGCTGGACTGGAAGCAGCGGCTGCGCCCACTGCAGAGACTGATGCATTTTCTCCGGTTCAATAGGCCGTACCTGGTTTGTAGCAGCCGCGTATTGCGCAGTAATTTCTTGCTTCGGGGACTGTAGAGCTTGAAGAGGAGTTCCTGCCTGGGAAGCTCCCTTTTTTGGCAGAGAAGTCAGTTGCGACCTCATGTGATTCGGAATCGGCCTCTTTGTTAATTCGTCTTTCTTTTGGTTCTTCTTTCGTTTTTTAAGAGCTTTCATTGCTGCTTCCTTCTCGTCATCAGAAAATTCCTGCTCTTCCTCAGGGATTTCTTCGTCATTCCAATTACTAGCATCGCTTCCCTTTATTGTCTTTATTTGAGACGTAAGCACAAATTCGGATTCGGGAACAACATAGAAAACCTTTGCGCCTTTTTTGTCCTTGAATGCTTCAAACTTTTCTTCTGTCTTAAACTTAACACGATACGAAGGAGATTGAATTCTCCCAAATGTCTCAAAGAGTGGGCCGACTAACGTTCTATCTTCTAAACAGAGAATTGAGCCATCTTTCAAAACGCGTATCTCACCTGAAACGCTTGCCTTTATCACAATGCTTCTCTCAACAAGGGCTGTAATATTACCGATGTACTCAATAGGCGCATCTGGGGGAATAGAATAATCTTCGGGCAATTCTAGACCTTCTTCCTCTTGTTCATTCTTGGACTTTATGGGCTCGGCAGACACGTCGCTCTCGTTATCGGATACCGCAACCTCACCTTCTTCCTCAGACTCGGAACCTGCGCTCAAGTCTGAGCTAGAGTCAGAATTCGAGTCACTGTCAGACTCTGATCCAGACTCTGATCCAGACTCTGATTCCACATCTGAGCTCTTGCTCTCCTCCAATTCGTTGTCAGACTCTGCAATCTCTTTCGTCTCATCAAATATACGATCTTCGGGATTTTGTTCACCAATATGTTCTTTTTCTTCTTTTTCTTCTTGTTCTACTTGTTCTTCCGAGTTCCCGTTTGCTACTTCAAAAACTTCGAGCTCACCAGTATTCTCCTTTTCATGGGATTCGTTGGCTAGGGGCCCTTCTTGCCCAGAGTTTTCTCCGTTGACAGGATTCTCTGGCGATAATGTTACCATAGACATTTAAAGCTAAAAAATTTTATGCGGCTCGAAGCTGATAAGTAGCGAGGATGATCTGAAATATGAAATGCTGCAATACGGCAATACGGAAATACCGTATTGCAGGTACGATCGTTGCGCTGGAAAGTACTTCCTTCAGGCGTAACGGGGGAAGAGATATTGCCATCTGCATGATTCCCAACCTCAGGAGTTAAATGTGTGAAATCATATCTCGAACTTTATAAAAAGCAAATTATTTAACTTCGGAGTTTCATACGCTAATAGATATTGAAATGTCCACACGCGACTCTCAATAGGGTTTTAGTACTGGATTAATGGTGCTTTGAGCATATCTTAAGTAAAAAAAGCAGGACTTGCTCTTATCCTACTCCTTCGCGACATGCATATTGTAGTAGCTTAAAAATTTATTTTTTCTGAATTTTTTTTTGCAAGTTTTCACTTGAAAGGTATGAGCAAGAAGAAGGCCCTTGATTCACGGATTGCTGCTCTTATCCGCAATGGCGTGGATACCAGAGAACGAAGCTTCATAATAATGGTTGGAGATCGGTCCAGGAATCAGATTCCTAATCTCCACTATTTGATGATGAATGCAAACCTCAAAATGAATAAATCAATTTTATGGGCTTATAAGAAAAAACTTCTTGGTTTTACGTCCCATAGGAAGAAGAGGGAAGACAAGATCAAAAAGGAAATCAAGCGTGGGAAAAGAGAGCCAAATGAACTAGATCCATTCGAAGTCTTTATTACAAACCAGCAGATCAGATACGTGTATTATAAAGAGACTGAAAAGATCCTGGGGAATACCTATGGTATGGTCATCCTGCAGGATTTTGAAGGACTTACTCCCAACCTTATGGCAAGGACAATTGAAACTGTCGAAGGAGGGGGACTGGTTATCATGCTACTCAAGTCCATGACATCTTTGAAGCAGTTGTATACAATGACTATGGATATCCATTCCAGATATAGAACTGAAGCCCACAACGATGTTGTTGCTCGTTTCAATGAGAGGTTTTTATTGTCACTCGCTGATTGCAGAAATTGTCTAGTCTTGGACGACGAGTTGAATGTCTTACCTGTTTCTGGTGGAAGAAACGTTAAGAGGCTTCCTCCAAAGGATGATGAGGAAGTGACAGAAAAAGAGCAGGAGCTGATAGATTTGAAAAAGAGTCTTGAGGATACCCAGCCAGCGGGGGCACTGGTTGCACTGTCCAGGACGGTCAATCAAGCAGAGGCTATTTTAAGGTTTATTGATTCGATCGCCGAAAAGACCTTAAACACGACAGTAACGCTGACTGCTGGTAGAGGTCGGGGTAAATCTGCCGCACTAGGAATTGCTATAGCTGCTGCCGTTGCCCAAGATTACTCCAATATCTTTGTTACATCTCCTTCTCCCGAAAACCTGAAAACTCTGTTTGAGTTTATTTTCAAAGGTTTTGATGCCATGGGATACGTTGAGCATCAAGATTACGACATAATTCAGTCTACTAATCCCTCCTTTGCCAAAGCTATCGTGAGAGTGGATATCAAAAGATCGGGCCACAGACAGACTATTCAATATATATCGCCTACAGACAGTCATGTTTTGGGACAAGCTGAGCTTTTGATCATCGACGAGGCAGCCGCAATACCCCTACCTGTGGTGAAAAAACTACTGGGGCCTTATTTGGTTTTCATGGCTTCCACCATCAATGGTTACGAAGGAACCGGAAGGTCTTTGAGCTTGAAGCTGATTCAGCAGCTGAGAGACCACTCTAATACCATTGTCAGTAATAATTCTCAGACCCAAGTTGTGTCAAGAGGCAGTAAGAAATTGACAGATGATGATTTGCATATCCGTGGTCGCAATCTGGTTGAAGTCGTGTTGGACGAACCGATCAGATATGCTCCTGGAGATCCAGTGGAAGCTTGGCTGAATAAGTTGCTATGTCTGGATGCTAAACTGACAAAAAATACCAAATATGAGACAAGGGGCTGTCCACACCCTAGCGAATGCAATTTATTCTACATTAACAGGGATACGCTATTTTCTTACGATCCGGTTTCAGAGGCATTCTTGCAAAAGATGATGGCTCTTTTCGTTTCTTCGCACTACAAAAACTCCCCAAATGATTTGCAGCTCATGTCTGATGCTCCTGCCCATCAGCTTTATGCTTTGTTCGGGCCAGATGCTGGAAAAGATGGTTCCATTCCAACTCCGTTATGTGTGGTGCAACTTGCTTTGGAGGGTGAGATTTCTAAAGAGAGCATTCGAAGCAGTCTCAACAGAGGTGTCCGTGCTGGTGGAGACCTCATACCGTGGTTGATCAGCCAACAATTCCAGGACGATGACTTTGCATCGCTTTCCGGTGCTAGGATTGTCAGAGTCGCCACACATCCTGACTATATGAACATGGGATACGGATCAAGAGCTTTGGAGCTGTTGACAGACTATTTTGAAGGCAAATTCGCCAATATCAGCGAGGCTTCCTCCTTTGAGGATGACAAGTTCTCTCTTAGGACATTGACTGACAACGAGCTGGAATCCGCGGTTTTACAGCAAGAAGAGATCAAACCAAGAAAGGAAAACAGGTTGCAACCGTTGTTTATCAATCTCGCTCACAAGGCCCCTTACTATTTACACTATATGGGTGTTTCCTATGGACTAACACCAGATCTGTTTAGGTTCTGGAAAAGGTCGCACTATCTTCCAGTTTACCTGAGACAAACTGCCAATGACCTGACCGGCGAACACACCTGTGTCATGCTCAAAGTGCTCGAGAACCGTGAGGACCAATGGCTGAAAGAATATTCAAAGGACTTCCACAAAAGATTTGTGAACCTTCTGGGTTATAACTTCAATGTGATACCTTCTGTGCAGGCTTTGAGCGTTCTAGAGTCTTGTGAAAAGCCCCCTCAAGAAGACTTCACAAAAGATGAGCTAGATAAATTCTTTTCGCCGTTTGACCTCAAGAGGCTCGAGTCATACGCTAACAACCTTATCGACTACCACGTTGTAGTGGACCTATTGCCAATTTTGGCATATCTTTACTTCCAGGGAAAAATCTCTAAAGCAGTTAACTTATCAAATGTGCAGGCAGCAATTTTATTAGCAATCGGACTGCAACACAAGGACATGGACAAGATCGCCAAGGAGCTTTCCATTGAGGCTAATCAAGCGATGGCGATGTTTGCCAAGATCATACGTAAAGTGTCCAGCTATTTCCGCTCGCTTGTGCAACAGAAGATAGCAGAAGAAATGCCTGAAGTGGAGGACGAGACCGTTCGCGAGATGAATGGTGAAGAAACCAACGTCGCAGACATTGAGGAGATCGAAAAAGAGCTGGTCGATGAAATGAACAAGTCCGGAGCTTCAGCGGTGAGCGCTTTGAGAGAAAAACAAAAAGAGCTCATCAATTCCCTGAATCTGGAAAAGTACGCCATCAATGACCAAGGATGGGATGCTAGCAAATTAGAGAAAGCTGCCAAAAACAAAGGTGTGGTGAGCGTGGATTCAGGAAAGAAGCGAAAGACCGGGGAGACAGCCGAACAGATCTATGATCAAGAAATGAAGAAACAGAAAAGGCCTGGTTCAAAGAGATAACCCCCTACATATCATCCTGGCTGTTTGTAGAATCAATTGATCGAAATTTGTGCTGTTGTCGTTGTCGAAAGCAACAATTCGAGGCTCAGCGATCTTGGCAGTGTTATCCTTTAGCTGTTGTTCGTTATGGTATGCATTTTCAAAAAGATGTGTATGGTTTCTGTAGTATTGGGGCCAGACAATTTTCTCGAAGTACCCAGGAGGGTCTGTCCATATACCATTGTCTATAGTGTATTGTCTGCTTTGACGTCTATTTTTGAGAGTATTGTAGTCTGTTTTGTAGAATAGACAAACATCTAGAAGGTCGAGAATCTCCTTATCATGATATAACAGAAATCCATCTACAAATACTATCCGGGGTAGGCTCAAGGGTCCAACTGTTTCTTTGATCTTTTGCTCAATTTGGGGACTGAGCCTTATGAAAACGTCGAGAGATTCTTTGGACGACTCGCTGAATTGAAAGTTTGAGTCTCGCTTGAAATTCCTCAATGTATCTTTCAGTTTTTCAAAATCGACTGCCTCCGGACAGTCCCAGTCATACTCTTGCAATTCCTCATTGAATGGAATTTGCTCATCTGGATAGTAGAAGTCATCTTCGTGTAGTAGTACAGAGTTCGGGAACAGATCACGTAGAGTCTTAGCCACCGTAGTTTTCCCAGAACTCGAAGCTCCACTGACTCCTATTAGGAGAGACATGTATGGAAGAAAAAATTTGGCTCATATATTTTAATTTTATTAGTCATGGCAGACGTTATCAACGCAAACCCTACCGTATTGGATGCAAGCTTGCTGCCAACACGACACGGTACAATAGTGGAGAAGGACGAACAATTAGTGGTGCATCAGGAACTCACCGAGCTTTCTCTGGATGGAATCACCTATACGGATAGCGAGGGCGAATCCGAAGACGAGGGATTTGATGCTCAGGAGATTTATGACTTGATCTCGACAATTTCTGATCCCGAACATCCGCTCACACTTGGGCAGCTGGCCGTTGTGAATCTCTCAGACATCAAGGTTATCGATCCCCAGAATAAGAATGAGATAGGAGAAGTGATTGTCCGCATCACACCGACAATCACGCACTGCTCTTTAGCCACCCTCATTGGTCTCGGAATTAGAGTCAGATTGGAGCGCTGTTTGCCTCCAAGATTCAGGATACTGGTTTTGCTGAAGGAAGGCAGCCACCAGAGCGAGAATCAGGTGAATAAGCAGCTGAATGACAAAGAAAGGGTTAGTGCTGCCTGTGAAAATGACCAGCTTCTTAAGGTGATTAGCCACATGCTAGCAACCTGCGCATGAAGGGATGAGAATAGTGTAGAATAATGCTACTTACAACTTACGGTACGTGAATAGAATGGAGGGATTAATATATGTATTTGCAATTTTTGCGACTCAATCATACATGTGTCTCGTCTTACGCTAGGCATCTTTGATTGGTGAGGTTGTTTCCTTATCTAGGGATGCGCCGGTAGCTTGAGCGATAGAATATATTCCTGAGTCCTGTGGATACTCAGCTACACCCTTGCACTGACTAACTCTTGCTATAATTCTGATTATCGAAAAAAAATTTCATTGGAAAATGGTCACCCTCACTAGAATCGAAGACGAAAGACAACAAAAGCCTGAAGAAAAGGTGTTCAACGCAGGCGACGAGGAAGTTGAGTCCGAGTCGGAAGTTGAATCAGATGATGAGTTTGACGAGAATGAAACTTTGCTGCAGAGAATAGAAGCTCTCAAAGATATGATTTTACCTGAGCAAAGGCAATACATTGCTTCTACTTTGGAGTCTGCTTACTCCACTGCAGCAACTTTGGCCAAGAAATGTGGTAACGGATTGTGGATTCTCACTTCGTCTACCTTGCTTTTGGGAGTTCCATTGGCTTTGGGAATTTTTGGTGAGACCCAGTTGAACGAATTAGAAAAGGAAATGCAGTTGCAACAAGGCAGCAGTGACTTGTTGGCTTCGGGAAGTGAACAACAACCTGCTACAGCTGCAAGATAAGTTTGAAAAGATACAAGAAAGTCAGCTTTTTCTGACCTCACCCAACAATGCGTATTCTTCTTGGTTGCTCATGTGGGCAACAAATGCCGAGCAGTGTGTATATATAAGCATCTGGTTTATGAGAAAAAAAAACGGTAGTATACATGCATGCGTGCTGTAGCCATTAACGAGCTCGGAAAGGTGGCAAGTTCTGTGCTTTGATCGAGATATTAAAAGACTTTCTGGTGTTTTATACTTAGAGCATAAATGTCCAGGTAGGTCGTGATTTCGTAGATCACCTCTAGAATGAACATGGCATGCACTCCGAGAGCAACTCCAAATCCAAGATAGACAATTGAACACAGAACACCATCATAATCATATCCATAAACGCGTGTTAGCACAGGGATCAAAATCAGCTGCACGACGGGAAGAAGCATCGGAAGATTAAAGAATGGGAATTCTTGCTTTGTCAAATGCCCGATAATGATACGGCCCACAGTGAATGCCATGGTAGATCCAATAGTGAGCATCATTGGCACAGTGTACACTGTTCTGATCTGCTCATGAATGATCAACATCACGAAAACGGTGCCATAGTAGGCAAAGAAAGGCACCAAACCTCTCATCGCAGACTTCTGCTCAGTCTTAGAGCTAACGTGTCGGATGACATTCCGGCGGGCAGAATGGATATTAAAGTAGAGGAAGACAGCACCAAAAGCTAAAGCCAAATCAAGGGCTTTGATTGGATAGGTTGAGGATAGATCGAACGCCGAGAGGTCGACGGTGAAAACCTCGAGTTTCCAGAAACTTGGGCCATGCAACGCAGTAGCAACGAAAAGAACAACCAGCAATATGATCCCCTCCACAGGACCTGAGCACTCGCTTAAAAATAATTTGTGGGTGTAGAATTCCTCCCATGTGGACAAGTAGAAATTCATAAGAGAAGCAAATTGGGATATGTACACCATCCATCCCTTCCCCAAACCTGCCACAGATGCAAAGATCAAAACAGAAAGACTGGTGTTCACCGCATCAACACAATGGTCGAACAATTCTCCGAGGGGACCAGATTGTCCGGTTCTTCTTGCATGGATTCCATCACATGCATCAAAAGTTTGGTACAAGAAAATGGAGGCCGCGTAAACCAAGTAGCACCATCGAGGCGATTGCTGATTCAAATCAGGATCCACATAAAACACAAGAAGCAAAGACGCCAAAATGAACATCAATCCCGAAAGCGTAACCATGTTTGGGGCCATCCACACCGGGAAGATCTTTTCAAATTGGACCCAGAATCGTTTTAGGACATATTTAGTCAATAATGACCTGTCCTCTGATTGATACCTGCTGTTAGATATTGAGTAGTCTACTGGCACTTACTTGTACTCTTTCAAGTGAGGTAGGGCCTGCTGGGGTAAAAAGAATCCCATAACCTAATGTGCTCTTGATTAAAATAAATTGGAAGCTGGGATAGTGGATGTTTAAGATTACATAATTTGATCGAGAAATTTCCTAGCTATCTCGACTCCCAAAAATGTAGCTGCGTTGGCTGGGAAGCTTCTGGCGAGGGCTGGACCCAAGCCTGGGAAGAAAGCCTTGATACCGCCCTTTGAGTAAATAGAAGAGGCTGTCTTAAAGACTGACCGGTTGCTTTCCGAAGATTGCTGAACACTTTTAATAGTGTCAATTGGGAAGATAGCAGTCCACATTGCAACACCTGCAAAACCACCAGCGGTCATGATAGCTGCAATAGATATATCACCAGAGCTCGGGGAAAGCTCCTTTTTGAGATACTCGTAAGTAGCAAAGTAGATGGCAGATCCAGGTCCGTCCCTAGCCAAGGTAGCCGTGGACCCTTTGAATATGGATTTTAGCCCCCCTTGTTTATGAAGCTTGGAGACTGTTTGCATAAAGGAGACCTTGCCTTGGGAAGTCTGCATCACCACTTTCACACGCTCAAAAGGGGCTGCAATTAACGTGGTAGGCACTGCACTGAAAAATCCTGCTGCGCTTATCTGAGGAATGGTGAGGGGTGATTTTACTGGATCGATATTGTAAAATGCGTACACAAGTTTCTTGCCCACGTCATAGCCCCAGAAAGACACAGCAAACATTGGAGTGACCCCCAACAAAGGAGATGAAACTCCTTTGTAGAAGCCCAAAGGCCCAGAAGAGGCTAAAGTGCCCTTGATACAGTCGAGAGAAGACTTATATTGATTTGTCTGTAAAAGCACCTTGGTATAGTCGAATGGCTGGCCAGTAATCACAGCACATATTCCACCAAAGCCACCGGCACCAAAGGACTTGAAATTGTCCAAAAGAACGGACTCTGCAATGTTATCCTCCATTTACTCTACACAAGGGTTTTTTTCAAGCTTATATAAAAAAAAAAAATTCCCCACGCAAAGGTGCACCGGCATGTGATGAACACGGCTAAGGGGAAAAAATAATCGTGACTCGAATTTGATTGTTGATGACTCTCTCTATCTATCTAGTTGCTTAGCATGATACCAAGGCACCTAAGTGTCTGGTCCTGATCCACGGTCAAGTCTTCGGTGAACTTTTCGAGGTTATCTTCGAAAGACTCTATAATGTCAACGGTCAGCTTTTCCATAAGCTTGTTCAGCTTAACATCGATCGAATTGAGATAATCGTCATAGCGATCCTTATTCTCAAAGTCCAAATATCCATCGTCTCGTAGCATTTCCGTAACAGATAACATATCCACCAACAAGCTGTTAAACTCTTCGTTGAGGCTGATGAACTGGTTGATGGTCATGATGAAAGAATCAATCTGCTCAATGTAATAAAGACCCGAGTTTCTGCCCTTGGAAGACTTACTATGCATATCAAACAGCCTGGATCTCGTGATTGAGGTGATGTAGTCGCGATGCAACTTTGTCAGTTCGTCCAAGTTATAAGCATTATATTTCAGTTCAAGATAAGCTTTATCGGGCTGAGAAAGGTAAGTCTTGTCAATTTTGATTCTACCACTTTCCAGCACTTTTATGCCTTTAGTATTTCGCTTGATCTTTATATGATGTTCATCTGTTTTGGCAAGGGCCCCTAGCAACTTTTGATACTTTTTTTCGATAATCTCCAGATCAAAGAAACTGGTGATGATATTAACAAACTTAATGAACTCATTTCTCAGAATATTAAGTCGTTTGAAGGTCTTGGATAGCCAAAGACAACGGGAATCAAGAACCGAGATGGCGTAATTAGGGTCTAGTTTCAGTTGTTGACGGACGACCTTGCTTCTTTTTTCAATATGTTTCAGAGAGCTCCGCCTAATGCTGTTGGACTCCAACCACTCCACGTTCAAAAGATAATTCACCTTTTGTAAACGCAACAGGAAATTGAACATCCGCAGATATTCTCTAGAATTATGCGTGGGCCCATTCAAAATAAGGTCAAGGGGATACTTGACCTGGAAATCTAAAGTAAAGACATCCCAACCAATATTTCCGTGCCCCATCTCAAGGATTCTAGCATCCAGTCGATTCAGAACTTCAACGGGAAGGTGTCTGATACTTGAATTTTCAATAGATTCTTGTAAAATTTTCATTAGTTGGTGAGACGACAACGTTGAGGAGGACTCATTCAAAACAGGAAGGCCCTTGACAATAAGAGAATTAACGAAGTCACCTTTATTCATCAACAAGAGTTGATGCAGATAGCTAATTTCTTTGACTAGACCATATTTTTCGTAAAGAACATAGCACATATAATTGATTATCTCGTCGTACTGCTGTTGCACGATTCTGTCCAATTTGTTGGCCGCCATGTCTAAAAAGTCACCGTTGTTCACAAACAATTGTCGATATTTCAAACCAAATCCGATGCACCACTTCATTTCATTGCATTGGTTTTTCAGATAGAGAAGCGATTTTCCTATCTGGTAGATCAGTTCTGAAGTCCTAATGAAAGTTGGAACTTTTTCGGGTTGTAATTCTTGACCGAGTTCTGTGTATGCGATGAAGAAGTTTTCTTTGATAGTATCTTCTCGAACCAACGATCCTTCGAACATCCAGTCCTTAATCATCTCAAAATAGGGTAAAGAACATGTACGAAAAATCGTGGTGGCTAACCCTTTCAACAACGGGTCTCCGATTCTTGTAAGCTCGCTCAGATTTGACAAGAATTCGTTTATGGGAAGGGTCTGAATTTGTGTGGTAAGGTTGTAAAGCAACCGCAACTTGACAATTGAGTCATTCAGTTGTAAGCGCACATATCGTAATGTCAAAGATTCGATGTTTGCTGGATTGAATATCTGATTCACAAGAGTGATATACTGGAATAATTCTTTTTGTAAGAAGCTTGAAAAGGCGACTTTGACTTGCGAGTTGGCCAAAACTTTCGGGCTCATCGTCTTCAAATGTTTGTATATCAAGGCAGGTTCGAAAAGCTGGTAGAGCAAACCGAGCGTGCCATAGCTTATATTAGTTGGAACTTTAATCTTATCATCGAATGGAAATATTTCCGACGTCGAACCGATTAATGTGAATGCCAGGTTTTTGATCATTTCCTGCTCTGGAATAAGGCTATAATCTGTATCATGGTAATAAAAGGGCAACAGGTGTTTGCTAAGGGGCTCTCCTACCGAGAAGCTTTGGCTTGGCGGTCGGCTTGAATGAAGTCCAAAGGTTGAGGAGGGCAGAAACGCGGTGCTGGAAGGTAGGCCAGGAGATGAAAGGAGATGACGATGATTAGCCATGCTTGTGCTAGCTCCCAGATTATTTGCGACTCCAGAAGAGTCGTATTGCGCCATATGGGATGGTATGTGTCTTTGTTTATTTGTCTCGTACGAGTCCAATTTGATCAAATATCTTGCCGCTTCATCTATATTGTTTAGAGACAGAAGATCTTCAGTTGTTTGCTCAAGCTTATCCCAGACGTATGTATACGCAGGCATATGGGCAAAAATAGAACGGTATTCACTCAGGGAAGCCAGAGACTGAGAAGTGCTCATGGAAGACGTATACGACCTTATCAGCAGCCTACATACATCGTTTGTTAGCTTGTGAATGAAGTTAGCATCGAATTCATCTGGGACAATGCTTCTCAAAAGCCGAAAGAGATAATTGATCACGATTTGTTCCGACTCCATCAGGCTAAAATGTAAATAAAAAATAAATCCAATATAAAATAAGGATACGGTGTGAGGTGTAAGATGCATTGATTATATCTCATCTTTCCAGCCCTCTTCAAGAAACATCTCTTGTTTCAAAGGGGGAATGTTGTCGTAGCCAAAGTTGACCATTTGATCAGAATAGTACGTGGCGTTATAAAATTTGAGCAAACTGCGCAAAGCGTACTCATTTTCCCAAGAACGCTTCAATCGTTCGTTAAGATTAAAGATGAACAGATTGTTTAGCCATTGGTCGCGCAACCCCACTTTGTAAAATAGATATACAAAGGAGATAAGATCCATGTTGTTGGAACGCCACTTTTTGCCATTGAATGGACAGATTAACTTAATAACCTTCAAGACAGGCTTATAGAAACTGGAATTGTATATCGTGAGTAAAAACCGTAAGCTTTCTGTTGGTCGCACCTCTAAAAGTTTGTAAATTCGTTGGATCTTATAGTTGGAGATGGTTGAATACAAGCTTCGCAACAATTGCGTAATGATTGTACAATATCGATGATTGGGCTTCAAAATTTTCACATGTGATTGTCCGCTAAACGGCGGAATATACGTTTCATAGGCTTGTTGGTTCACTTCAAATATATCTTCGGAATTGAACTTTGGACTCTGGGGAGCTTGACGGCAAAATGAAGTTGCGGTCCTGAAAAAGTTGTATTCCTTTGAATCGTATAGTACCTCATAATCACAAAAGACAACTCTATTCTTCAGCAAAGTTTCAGGGTCATTGAAATCAAAAGAATTCTCAAGCTGAGTCTGCACTTGGTTGCTGCCAAGGAAGCGAAAAAGGTTCAAATACAGATCGTTGTCAAACAGCAAAAGAGCAAAATATTCCTGTTTCAAAATATGTGACATTTTGAACCACTTAAGCAGTAGAAACATGGTAGTGGAAGCTGCTTTCAAGCAGGTTTCTTTGATCCGCATCAAATCAAGCTTCTGCTTGTCGTATTGTGACATGGTGGAAATGTCATAAGGCTTCTTAGGCGGTAGAAAAGGGTTTTCCGCTGATTTATACCCCGAAGCAGGAAGTACATTTGAAGATATGATCTGAATCAATACTGCCGCCAATGAGTTCAAGTATGGCAATGCCGAATGGTAAAATTGCTCAACACGCTGCAATGCAACAAGCTCATCAGCAAAGATTGGGTTCTTCTCAATGTCTTTCTCGGTGTAAATAAATTTCGAGCCCGTAGGTTCAGTGATACCCTTTTCTTGCTTGATGAAATCTTCAAATACATCAGTAAATTGTAAAGCACTGAACGACTCAGAAACATGAGCATGGAAGATTCTCGTTGCCTCCTGGATACTCACAGGTATGTCATGAGAGAAAGGATACAAATTGGCGAATTGGGGTTGTGTAATGAAAACCTTTTTACGACCTTGCCCGTTCACATGTTCGATCTCTGAGATATTAGAGCTTCTCGACCCTCCTGTATGCTGTGGACTCAAAGTAGGCGATGGGGCAGGCGTTGCTATATGAATCTCAGGAGGACAGCTATCTTGTGAGTTTGGCAACTTGTTGCGTAGATGGTGTTTTTGGTTAATTAATAGTGCAGAAGTATTGATTAGCTTTGAACAACTTTCATTATCTTGTTCAACGTTCAGCTGTAAAATATCCGAGACTTTATGCTCAGGAGGCGAGTAGGTAGGGTATCTGGCAATAAGCTCTTTGCGGAAGTACTGGTAATCAAGAGGAGTGATAGTCTCAACTTTTGCCCCACGAGTTCCTGGGGCGCTGCCAAAAACATGACCGGATTCACATTTAAATCTGAGAAAGGATTTCGTAGACTGCAAGAGCTCAGAATCTCCAAACTGAAGCAATATTAGCTTTGAGAAGAGCATTATGACATTGCGGAGCTTGAAATAGTGAACCACCGAATTGTCCAATGCGGAGCCCAGCTCCTTGTCATTGGCATCCGCAGTCAGCCAGCGCCAGTTGTCAATTGCCCTCATCATGGTAGTAAGAAGTTGGCTCGTATCAACGATGCCGGCCAATAGTCTCACTTTTTCTTTGGTCGTCAAAGTAGCAAGGACAACAGTGTAAACAATGGTCATAGAATGATACAACTGCGAAGACCATGTTTGAAGCTGTTTGCGATTGAGAGGTTTTTCCTCGTTCTTCAAATCGCTCAAGCGAACCAGTCTAGAGCTGAGAACTTCCAAAATCGGGAGCAGCACTTCGTGACTGAGAAATAGGCGAGAGTTGTCTGTTATTTTGGTTATAAGTTCACCGATTTCTGATATCTCGCCATATTGACCCATTGCTATGTATTCCAGACTTATGAGTATATGCAATTGTGTTTTGTCTGAAGCGTTAATCAGTTTCTTAACAAGATCTGAGGGAGTCTGATTTTGGATGGCCAGTTTCTTGATATTGCTCAGTTCTTTGAGATCAGTTGCAGTGAACCAGTCCATATATTCCGTTTCAAAGTCTCCGAGCTCTCTGTATTCGTACTGAAGCACCGGGTATTCGAGAATGATGTTGAAGTTGTTCAGACCGTCAACTTCGCGTTCGTCTTCGTCATCATTATCCGTGAATGAGAAACTACTGTGGGGTGAGGATAATATATCTTGATCATCGCTGGTTTCAACCATCTCCCCACGGTCAATGATGGCGCCTGGAAAAGGATCCAGTTCCTCCAACTGGGCTTCCAAGTCACGAATCTGACTTTCCATAACAAAAAATAAGGCTACAAAATATTTTAAATACCCAGATTTGCTATTCTTTCATGCTGAGTTTGGAAAACTGCGTCGGCTTGAAGTAAGTACATAGGCAACTCCTTCTCTAACACCAGAATCAAGCTCGTGACAGCAGAAGATGAGACTATAGTGGGGTCCATACATTCCTATAACCCTAATAATGGACTGCTATCGCTTGTTCGTCCATCCGAAAACTCATCCAAGGAAAACTTCATTGTTATCAAAAATACGTTCATCAAAAGTATAACCTGCCTTTCCAAACCCAAAGATGTCAATACAAGCTCTATAAATGAGAAGTTTGCAAGTATGCCTCGAAAACCCCAGCCTGTGCCACTCAATATGCTGGGGTATAACTATAAGGTCACCAACGCTCATCTGGTGAAAAAATACCAATCACAATATGTGCTGAATAAGACTTTGGCAGACAGAAAGATCACGCCAGAAGGGAGAGAAATATTCACGAGTTTATTCAACTTACTTCCCGATGGTGATGTCTCTCTTGACAAAAATGACAACATCATCGTCTTTGACAACCACATTGTTATTTCCAAACCTTATGGCGCTGACAACTGCAAAATAGTTTCCGGAAATGATGAACAGCAGCTTTCATACATCAAAAAGATCATTAAGGATGCCTGGGCGCGACTGGAGTCCGAGAGAAAGGGTGGTTGAGACGGTAACAGATATCGAATTCATTTCCTATTTCTTCATGCCTAACATACCAGCCAAGGCAAGCTGGCGTTGAATGGAAACCATATCTTCTGTATTCTTAAGCGTAGCCGTAAATTCAATCTCCACGCTTTCCAGAAGCTTGACACCCTTGCTTTTAGTTCCTTTAAATCCATCGAGTTCAGACCAAGGAATTGCCACAAGACAATGAGCGACCTGAGTTGGATTTTTCTTTACCTTGGACCTTGGTCGCTCAAAATAATTGAAAGACTGTTTGGTGGCCAAATACTGGTAGATGTATTCCATTACTGTGTTAATCCAGACTCTACCCAATCCCTGTAAAATCGAATTTAAATTGAAGTCGAATCGGACGACCATATCTGGCTCACAAGATACTGCACAGTAGTATGTGATTCGCATATTTTCAACCTCTTTTAAACATGCCTTCTCTCCGCTGATGGTCACCAGCATGTTATTTGCGTTGTCGAGTAATGAGCGACTAGGGTTAATTATCCTGATTTTGACATCTGTTGCACAAAAGTCGCTCTTCAGCAACTGCCGATAGAATTGTTGTCTCTTCTTATCCAGTAAGAAGAACTCAAAATAATGCATGTAACGAATTTGGGACTGGATGGTGATACCTGTACGAAAAGCTCTCCTACGTTCTTGGAAAACGGCATTAGCTTCTCGGAAGCATAGTCCAAATTTGAACATCAGATATGCCACGATTATGCTTCCTGTCCTTCCCTTACCATGCTTGCAATGTACGACTACCACATTGGTGGGACTTCGCTGGAGATATTCCTCAATCTCAACGACCGTCTCCAGCAAGGAGAACAAAGGAATAGGACTATGGTCTTTGAATGGTCTGTATAAGAACTCTCCACCCATATCTTTGACAATTGAAGGATCATATCCCACCTTTTCTTCCCTTAGGTTCACTATCATCCAGTTGTTCTTCCCATGGTTCCGATTTAACGCCTCTATTAAGTCGACTATGTTATTAGCACACACCTTAGCTTTATTGTCTGTAGGACCAGAGCAAGCTGCTAGATTTGGCAGAATATACGATAAGTCCAATTTTCGACCATGAATAACTCTAGAATACTTCCCAGGAGCGGGAAGCATCATTAAAAGAAAAGGGATAATAATTTCTACTGACCCCGGAAAGTGTCTTATCTAAGGGCAATTAAATTTGACATAAAAATATAAATCAATCAATGCCAATACCTATCCCGATCCCTGCTATTTGCGCCGGAATTGCAGTGTCCGCAGTGATGTATGTACACAGAGAAGAAATAGTAGAGTTCTTTGAGGACTTAGCGGTCGACTTGCTAGAAAAGATAGAGAAAAAGAGAGACAAACGAGTGAGAGCGAAGGCAGAATGTTTGGGAGACTCAGCTACAGTGTTCGATGACAGTACTGTGGTGAGAAGAAGACGAGTTTCGGAATGGATCAATGACCAGAAAGAATATGACTCGGATACAGACAGTGTGGAAACGCCTTCGCGCACAGCCTCCTCTATTTAGTTCATAAGGGCTATCAAGATCAACAAAACAACCACCAATACGACCAGGAATATGCATGTCCACTTTCCTTTTTTCTTTTGATACGCATCCGCCTTAGCAAGCTCACGATGTGCTACGCGGTTATCACTGGTATATGTTAATAAATTGTCCTCGATTGTATCGATCTGTTCGCCTTGCTGGTCCACCATTTCATTCAAGTCCTGAAAGATCTTATTAATATCCTGAACACCGCGAGATATGTTATCGATGGCTTGTTCTCTTTGTTGTATAATCGACTCATGAAATTCCAGCTCTGCGTTAGTGATCTGGGTCTTCTGCTGCTGCTGAAGAAGAGGAGTCGTTTCGGCAGCGCTGGCGTCCTTTTTGTTGTTTTCGTACTCTTCGTTTACCACCACTGACTGAAGCCGCTCATTGTACGCTCGCTGAACCAGTTGGTAATTACGGAACATCTCTGAACACTGCGCTTTGAGCTTCTGCTTAGTATACTGCAAAGTCGAGTTATTTATCACCTCTGGACTCTTTTCCAATAATGCCAGGCTTTGGTCAATTTCAGAATGAAGCGAGTTACATTTCTTGACTATTGATGACAGCTTGTTTCGCAGACCAAGAGTGTCCTTTTTAGTACCTAATTGTTGCTGCAGTTTATCGAACTTTGAGATGTTGGTGATCAAATCCGACAGCTGTGAGCTTATTTTGTTGAGCTGGTCTGTAGGGCCGGACGTGCTCCCATTGTCCGGGGCCTGTTTTTGGGCCTCCAGATCCAGATTGGCGAAAGACATTAAACTGAAGGAGGTAATCTTTTTTGTGGCGTGGGTGGCGGTGAAATCTTCAAGCAAATGGCTAGGGCCCAAAATATAATTTGCGAATCCCAAATTTCTTGACGCGTCGCGTAGAGAATGAAACACGATAAACGGGCAAGACTAAGAGCTGCTCGGGCCGGAATTAAGCTTTCTGATGAGGAAGATGGCTACGAGGACATCTATGAGGAGGTCGATGAGCAGCAATTCCGCCAGCACAAACAGCGTCAGCTTCTAAACGACGATTTCATCGTGGATGACTCTGGCAATGGGTACGCAGAAACAGGCGCAGACGATTGGGATGGCGCCAACGAGTACGCGAGCGAAGAGGAAGATGAGCCTGAAACTCGGCCACGCAAAAAGATTGCCAAAATCAAACGCGACACGCCACAGATCTCCTCCTTTTTCAAGGGAGCAGACACTGAGAATAAGCCAACTCGCAAAGTCGACAATCTTGACGACATTTTGAGCGACTTCACGGCCCAGGCAAGCAGCAATGCTCGTAGCACGCCGCTGTTCAGCGTGAAGAAACGGGCGGACGTGTTTTCCTCACTCAAGTCCGACAGAGTGAGGCCTGTGAAGCCGCTGAACGTGAAGAAGCTCATGTTTGAGGATGAGGTCCCTGCGAAAAAAATCAAGCTTAGCTCTGAGGATGAAATCTACGCTCCTGAGTCCGATCTTTCGAGCGTCTCGAAAATCGAGACGCCTTCTTCACCAATCAAAGCCGCGATCAAGGAAGATGACGAGTTCAGCTCGGACGACGAGGTCGACGTTACAACATTGAAAACAGCACGAGCGGACATCCAGAGAGTAAACTTGAGCTCAACAAGGGAGCTGAAGGAGACGAAGGCTGCCGACATTGCAACGTCTTCGCCAACGAGAGACGCGTCAGAGACTTCAATGATTAATAGCACTTTCGAGAAAGTGGACGAGTCACAAGTTGTCGACTCTGAGACAATACAGCTGTTCTGGATTGACTACGCGGAAGTGGACAATAGCCTGCTTTTGTTTGGTAAGGTCAAGACTTTGGACGGCAGGCATGTCAGCGCTGTGGTTCAAGTCAACGGCATAAGTCGAGAAATATATTTTCTGCCGCGTGAATCGCGGCTGGACGAGGACGATGGTCCACCGCCTACTGCCATGGATGTGCACGAGGAGATCATCCCGCTTTTGCTGGACAAGTTCGGGCTTGATCGAATCAAGGCCAAGCCGGAGACCAAGAAATGGGCCTTTGAGCTTGAGAACATCCCAAAAGAAACCGAGTACTTGAAAGTCCTGCTTCCTTTCCAAACGCCAAAGTCAAGAAACACCGTTCTGCCGTCAAGTTTGGAAGGAGAAACGTTCCGTCATGTATTCGGAGCAAATGCGAATATTTTCGAGACTTTTGTGCTCCAGCGGAACGTGATGGGCCCATGCTGGCTAGAAATCAAAGGAGCAGACTTTTCGGCCATCAAGAACTCTTCTCACTGCCAGGTGGAGGTCGCCGTTGCCGACCCAGCACAAATCAAACCGATAGATACTAACATGCCTGCTCCAGACCTCACGGCATTCAGCATCAACATCCAGCCGGTGACGAACCTCAAAGAAGGCAAGCAGGAAATCGGATTCGTCTCCTTTGCTGTGTACCGGAACGTCCACCAGGACACTCCAATGCCGGAAGATGCAGTTCCAGACGAGCTTCTGACTCTTGTGCGTCCTGTTGGTGGCTCGTTGGCCCTGCCCCCTGGACTCTCACAGTTGGCTGCTAAACGCAACATTCCGCTGCGGAGTTTCAATAACGAGCGCACTCTTTTGAATTGTCTTGCAGCCTTGATCAAAAAGACAGACCCTGACGTCTTCGTAGGACATAGATTGGACGCAGCTGTGTTGGACGTGCTGATGCGGCGGATGCACGACCTGAAAATCTCCCAATGGTCTACAGTTGGTCGCAGGAACAGAAAACAATGGCCTGACAGGTATGGCAAGGGATCTGGGCGGAATAACATGTTCTATCTGAAGGAAATATTTGCTGGGCGTCTATGTTGCGACATTGCGAACGAGATGGGTCAATCGCTGACTTCTAAATGTCAGTCTTGGGATCTTCCGGAGATGTATGACATCGTATGCAAAAAGAAGTTCATGCCGATGGACGTGAACCTTGCCAATCCTCAATTTGCAGAGGACACTAACCTGCTTCTTGCAGCTTTCAATGAGAACAGCATGAGCGTCAAAATTATAGCAGAGATCGCTTTCCGGGTGCAAATCTTGTCACTTTCAAAGCAACTGACCAACCTAGCCGGAAACGCATGGGCACACACGCTTGGAGGAACGAGAGCAGGAAGAAACGAGTATATCTTGCTGCACGAATTTACTAAAAATGGATACATCGTTCCGGATAAAGAGACAAGATCGCAAAGACAGGCGGCGGCAGCAGCTGCTGCTCTCGAACAGGATGGAGACGAGAGTACTGCGACGTCTAACAAGAAGACGAAGTACCAGGGTGGTTTGGTTTTCGAACCCGAAAAAGGTCTTCACAAGAATTACATTCTGGTCATGGATTTCAACTCTCTTTATCCATCCATTATTCAGGAATTTAACATCTGTTTCACCACTGTGAATAGATCGAATTTGGGAGAAAACGATCTCCCTAGTGTTCCACCATCAGAAGTTGCGCAAGGGGTTCTTCCGCGCCTGCTACAACAGCTGGTCAACAGACGTCGGGAGGTCAAGAAGTTGCTGAAAGATCCCCGAGCAACAGCTGTGGAGAAGGCTCAGTATGATATCAAGCAGCAGGCATTGAAGCTGACTGCAAACTCGATGTACGGTTGTCTGGGTTACGTCAACTCTCGATTCTACGCCAAGTCGCTCGCCATGCTTGTGACCAACAGAGGAAGAGAGATTCTGATGGACACGCGTCAGCTGGCAGAAAGCATTGGGTTGCGCGTTGTCTACGGCGATACTGACTCTGTCATGATTGACACGGGTTCGGACAACTTCCAGGAAGCTATGAAGATCGGTGACGACTTCAAAATCAAGGTCAACGAGCGGTACCGATTGCTCGAGATCGACATAGATAACGTGTTCAAACGACTCTTGTTGCATTCGAAAAAGAAATACGCAGCGATGAACGCTACCGTGGACGCTTCAGGACTTGAAAAGACCGTCTTGGAGGTGAAAGGATTGGATATGAGACGTCGTGAGTTTTGTCCGCTTTCGAAAGAAACCTCCACATTTGTTCTGGAGAAGATCCTGGGCGACGCAGATCCTGAAGATGCCTTGAACGATATCTACACTCACCTGGAAGATGTGAAAAATAAGCTGACAGACAACCAGATTCCAATGCACAAGCTCGCCATAAATACCAGGTTGTCCAAAGATCCAGGGCAATACCCCGGAGGCAAGTCCATGCCGGCTGTTCAGGTGGCTCTGAGACTACGAAAACAAGGCAAACTCGTTCGTGCTGGAAGTGTCATGACGTTTGTGATTACGGACAAAGGACAGGCCGACGGAGACTCTGTTGCTGACCGCGCGCGTGCTATAAGTGAAATTTTAGCCAACCCTTCGCAGTACAGACCTGATCCTTATTACTATCTGGAGAAACAGATATTCGCCCCAATAGAACGACTCCTGGAACGGATTGAGGGCAATGATGTTGTCCGCATGGCATCAGCTCTTGGGCTGGATGCTCGCAAATACGAGGCTCGCGCAAGATTCGTGCAAGATCGCGCTTCTGCAGAGTTGCAACCATTGGATTCCACGGTTTCAGACAGCGAGAGGTTCCGTGACTGCAAGCCCCTGTTTATAAGCTGCACCTCTTGTCGTGCGCCTTTTGAGTTTGGTGGAATCCAAGCTTCTAAAAGATACCAGGTCACGTTTTCCGGGGTCAAGTGTCTGTCATGTCAGCAAGTCTTGTCACCATTGGCTATTTCGTCCCAGCTGGAACACTTCTTGCGCCACGAGATTTCCACATACTACGCTGGTTGGCTCGTTTGTGACGATTGTGGCGTCAAGACACGCCAGGTTTCTGTTTACGGAAGACGGTGTATTGGCAAAAACGGCAAGGCCTATGGCTGTAAGGGTATCATGAGATACATATACCCAGACAAACAGCTCTACAACCAGCTACTGTACGCAATGAGCTTGTTCGATGTCGACAAGGCGAAGAAGCGTCTGTTGAAGCCGCTGACGGCCGATCTCGGAGTTGAAGATAAAGAAAACAAACTCGTACCAATGAACCAGGGAGAGTTGGACGCGCTTGTGGAACAGAATAGAGAATCGTTCAAAACATACCAGATGGTGATTGACAAGTACTTGACAGAGTGTGGACGTCGCTACGTCGACATGGGTGGCATTTTCGAGTTTATGAGTGTGTTTAAACGAGAGTAAAAAGTACATCATTTTTTATCCTGAGTCCATTGCAAAAGCTCCAGTCTTGCTTTTCTGACGCTATCCGTAAGCGATTGCCGCCATTTCGAGCGAGTCGTCTCCATACCAGACAGGCAATCTGAAAATTGTTTGGCAGCATCGTCTATTTGCTTGCTGACCTCTGGGAAATTTTCTCTTGAAAGAGAGTCCAGCCAGCCTGTGGTGTTTTGCAGAGTCTTTGGCATCAGGTATCCTGTGGCAACCAATCCAAAAGCCATAGGAGTAACGAACCGAAGAGGCAAAGACCTGGTGCGCACCATGATCGAACCTGTAAGCATAGCAGTCAAGATGTACAATCCGGAAGGAAGAACAGGTTCGGCAACTAGTTGGTGATACCTCTCGATTACATTTCGCTTTTCATTCAGATATGCAGCGTGAAGGTTCCTGTACTCGGCATCGAATATGTCCAGCTTCTGAACAGCATATTCACGGGCTTGTTTGGCGTATTTCTCTAGCGTGCTATTGGTACTGATGACTTTCCCCTCCACCACCTGCTTATGTGGGTTTTTGAGTAAATTCTCTTTTTTGCTGAGGTCCTTGGGAATAGCCTGGTTAAGTCCTGGAGTTGGCAAAATGTCCTCTTCGTCGGAATAAAATGAACGACCCATAATGAATGAACTCTGACAAAAATAAATAATTGGACGATTTATATAAAAAAATATTTCTATCCTAAAATCACCTGGTAGGACGTGTATACCATGGCCACTCCTCCTAAAACCACCAAGCTCATGTCAATGATTTTCATCAATCTCGTATGGGCGCAGATTTTGTAATGCAGCATTGGAGGATACATGTACACCAATGGAATGCAGGCGAATGAACCAACAAAGGACACAAACTGGTCAAGGTTGGAAGACCCCAAGTACGCTATGAGGCTTGTCCCAACCACCATGCATGTACGAAACATGTTTTTGGACCATTTTGTCGCAGAGTCGGTCTTTCCAGACCGTCTTTTGTAGAGTCTAGATTCAATAATTCTTATTGCGGGCAGCAGTTGTAGCGGAGCAGAAAGAAGGATAGCTATGGCGTAGAACAGTTGGATAGATCTCACTGCGATGGAAGACTGTGGAAGATTCAGAATCACTACTGTGTTGACTTGATCTCCGTAAGTCATGTATCCTAAGGAGCCTACCCCAATAAATAGAATGGAACAAACGATGATGACTGCACCCAACACTTTTGGATACTGTTCTGGATGCTTCATCGATTCTTGCACTGGAATGATTAATCCAATTCCCTCAAATGCAAAGATAGCCACACCAATGAACAGAGACCATTTGTCTTGGTTGAACAGCTCGACATGTGCCGGTCCGTTTTCTATGAGGTCCAGTGAAGCATAATAGACGATCGTAACCAGACCGCTCAAGATAAATATGTTTGCTAAGAGGGCTGCAAGCGATAGTTTTGTAATGTTTCTAATCAATGAAAGTGGTATAAATACCACACATTCCATTACAACCCAGTTACCAAGTGAGATGTCCACGCCGAAAAAATTGAGGACGAACGCCCGAAGGTTCTCAGCAGTGAAAATGGTGTATGCAGCCACAAAGCCAATCTGGGAAAGAATGATAGAGCTAAGGATCAGAAGTTTCATATTTCTTCCATAGAGAATCATTCCAATGTCACCGAATGAAGACACCCTAGTTTTCACCTTCGTCAACACAAGGATGTAGTAACACCAATATGATAAAGCTCCGAAAAAAAGCAAGGTTAAAGTGCAAAATAGAATGCCTCCGTTATAGAATGCGCGAGGTAGGAATAACACTCCCGTTCCAACAAACGATTTAAGAAGCAGGAAGAATGATTTCAACGTCGATGCAGTGCCCCCATGAGCCCGGGGCTCTAACAGAGGGGTCTCTTCGTCAGTATCCTTGTCAATAACATAGGAACAAGCCAGATAATCCTCATCTTCAAGATCCTCACCGGCAAAATGTCCATATATCGATAAGAACTCTAAGAAATTCCTGGTGAAGAATGTTGGCTTGGACAGTTGGTGGCCATATTTTGAGCTCTTATGCAGAATGAACTGTCTCCTGAAGCCTCCTGGAAGACGAATTTGCGATGCCGCGGAGCCGCGGCGTTCTCCAGGCAAATCTGCACCCGTCAAACTGCGTGACCGTCTCAAGTTGTTCTTCTTAGCGGGGAGCGTGTAGAGATCTCTAGTAATATCACCACCCGCTAGTTTGAGCGAACCATTTGCATCAGTAGCCAAATGTTTGGAAACATTCTTCCACAGTGTAGGATCGTCGATCGCGGAACTGTGGGAAGAGGATAGGGGAACGTCTACCTGTGGCTCACCACGTCCCAGAATAGACGTATCTTCTGCGTCTGATGATCCGGAAGTGGAAAGAGATGGATAAACTTGAGCGGAGGGATTCCTGTGCGCATTTACAGGGCTGGCCCTATCATCGATCACAGAGGAGCTAGGAGAGTCAGGCCGCTTCTGATTGAGAACAGATAAAGGCGTTCCAGAGACCAAGGGCGACGCTGCAAGCCTAGCCATGGATGTCCTTCTGCTGTTATTACGGCTTGCAATGCGAGCATCAGAATCACGTCGCACTATTGGTACCGGCCCTGAATTCTTTTTAGTGGGAGACTCGCCCATGCTGATAAATCTATAGATAAACTCTACTCTGTGTTTTAGTTTGAAACGTCGTCTTGTGGTAATCGTCGCGACGAAAAAAAATAACTAAATTATTCATGGTTTGGCCATTTGGGAAACGGTCGACACAGTCAGCCGAAGAGGAGGCTACAAGTAATGGGAAGGACAAGTCAGAGCAAAAAATATTCCTAGAGGATGTTCCCCCGAAGTTTGACACAGATATCCAAAAACCCGCTTCACAGCACACAACTCAGTCCAGAGAGATGAAAAGGATTCTGTCGAATCTGAGCTGGTCTGATTTCCACCCATCTAATCTACTAGCGATACCGTGTTTCCGAGATGCCGGATTGACAGGCTTCTCCTGTTTATTTGTGTTTTCGTCCGTGATGTTCCTCTACCATAAAGATATACGTAAAGCTGCCAATTGGGGATTTGGAGGGCTTATGTTGGGCGCAACATTTGCATGGGAGCAATGCAACGCTCAGCGGCGAAAAGAGCAACTGGCTGTGAAAATGGCCCAGGAACGGTATAAGCAGCGCCATCAGAGAAAAAGCGAATCATAATTCCGCCCTTTCTGTCATCTAAGCAGCCATTCTGGAGCAACCTCTTTTCTCGTGGCTATAGTGCTCACATCAAATGCTTCAATCAATAATTCGACGAGAATACGACCTCCTCGCACTCCTGTAAAACGTCGATATTCTTCGCTCACGCTGGCAAGGTTCCAGCCTTGTAGTTTCCGTAGACAGCCTATCACTGTTCCGGTTCTGTGTCTCCCCATGCCACAGCAAACAAGTAAGGGGTAATGGCGTTTGTCCGAGATGATCTCCAATGCTTGCTTTATAGAGGACTCCGACAGCCCATCCCAGGAGTTTGAGTCTATAGAGTCATAACCCAAATTGCAAAATAAGTTGATGTCGTTTTCCTCCATGAATCTCAGGAATGTATCCTGGGGCTCTTCGGTAGCAAGCCATATCACAGACTTCAGATGGAGCTGTTCGAGAAACGAGTGATTGATAGCAGACGGTTGGCCGGATCTGTATAGGTGTTTCTCGACAGGACAGAAGTTGATAGGTGGGACGATACGCAAAGAAGGCGGGCTCTTTACCACCACCGTGTCATCCTTTAACTCGTTCTCTATTGCTTTGTTTGGCAATTGATCGATCAGGACGGCGCCCTCCGGAGGCAACTTTGTCTTTTTCTCCATGAATGAAAATAAATTAATTTATTAAATATCTGATTTATTCCACGTATGGCAAAGAAAGACGCTAAGGCAAAAACCGTGCCTGTTATAAAGAAACAGGGCAACTCTGTTGCTGCAGAGCCTACGGCGAGTGCGATTTCACTGTTCCAGGAGCTGGGCAACTCGATGAAGATATCCTTCAACAGCTATATCTCGGAAACAAAGGACAACCAAAAATTGCGCCTGATCGACGCTTTCCTGGTATTTCTTGTGTGTCTCGGTATCCTGCAATTTGTTTTCTGCCTGCTGGTGGGAACCTTCCCATTCAATGCATTTCTGGGAGGATTTATCGCGACCGTGGCGCAGTTTGTGCTTACAGTGTCGCTCAGGTTACAAAGCCTGGATTCCAACAAAACCGTGTTCAAAGGAATCACTCCAGAACGCGCATTGGGTGACTATATATTTGCCAGCTTGGCACTGCATTTTGTCGTTCTTCATTTCATAAATTGAGCTCTCCAGTTATATATCTATTGTGCTACTGCTCTTCTTCTTCTTGGGCTATACTCATGGCGCTCTCACTTCCGTCATGCTCCTCGCGCTCGGTGTCTTCTCTGTAATCGTCCTGAGGAAGCTCAAACTCACATCTGTCGAACTCCTCTACTTCCTCTTTAGTTCTGGGGACCTGCCTGAGCCACTTCATACGAGGCCCCGAGGCAGCTCTCTCATTAATGCGGAATCCAAACAACTTAAGTTCATATTGCTTTTTGAGTCGCTGTTGACACTGTCTTTCGATCTCGGGAAACATCTTGATGAAAAGACCAGCAAAGGAGGTCCCGAAAAATGCACCGTCGATGTTCAAGTAGCGGGACGACGAAGGCAGGTAGATGTCGTTACAGCACGGACAGTACAGTCTCACGGTCTCGATTCCAGTCTGGTCGTAGCGTCCGATAGGTATGAGTCGCATTCCTTCGCAATAGTATCGAGGACAGGTTCCAAATACTTTCTGTTCGTATTTTTCTGCCATGAGATGGTATCCCTGCTTGGTGAGAATGAATCTTGCATGAATCAGTCCATATAGGAGCTGGGCTGCATGCTCCACCAGTGGAACGTTGGATACCTTGATGGGGACTTCGGGTTCCAAATCCAAAATAACATCCAGTGCCTCTCTATAGAACGGAACAACTGAGCTCAACCCCGTCAAGTTGAAGTCGTCTTCGATAAACTCTGGCGCCACTTCCACAAAGTAGTCATGTCCAAAGATCGAACAGTACTGGGAAATCCAGCTGTCCATCTCCTCACTCGAGTTCGACTCTAAGTCGTTGGATATATTCATTTAGGAGAATATAGTACTCTTTACACTTTTTTATCTTGCGGTCAAAATTTTCACCATGCAATTGCAAACACTGTTTTTGGTCGTCACTGGGTTGACGATACTGTCGAACCTGGTGTCTCTTGTGACCAAGGAGAGGATACAAGGGGCGGTGTATGTTGTGTTTTTGAGGCTCTTTTTGACTGGAGAGTATAACAAGCTGATGAAACTCAGGTCAGAACAATTGGCGATTAACAAGGAAAGAAATGCCATCAGCGCGCAAGATAACTACGCCAAATGGACGAAGCTCAACAGAAAATACGATGCACTAGCCGAGGAAATAAAGAAACAAGAGCACGCGCTCTCAAGCCAGAAATCATTAATAGACAATTATGTCTCCAGAGCATTGCAATTGTTGACCACGCTGCCCATCAACGCATTAAAACTCTGGTACGCCCGCAAAAGTCTCTTTTACACCAGACCAGGCACATTTCCCTGGATCATAGACGCAGTGATCATCAACCTGCCCTTCTTGCCCAGAGGCTCCGTGGGTATTTATGTTTGGTGTTTCTGTGTTAACAGGGTTTTCTGGATCCTCGTGGACTTTGTCAAAGTGCTCACCGAACCAAGACCCCTACCGCCGTCTAAAGAAAAAGTTAATTAATACACCAAAAGCGACCCTCAATACACACTAATCCCAAAGCAATGACTTAAATACCAAATTATCCGATCCATTCCAAAATTCCATCCAGCGACCCAAATTTACGTTTCTTGCGGCTAGGATCCAACAGCTTGTGAAGCTGAACAAGTTGTTCGTAGTTGTCAGCTTCCTGCGTTAAATTGTTCATGTTTAGGTAGCTTGCGGATCTGGTAAGTGGATTCAGTCTCAATGGTTTTAACTTTTTGTGGTGAAGTAGCTTATCCACCACATAGTGGAGCCAGAGTAGGTTCGTCGATGGACTATAAATAGACCAGTCGATGTCCGCCTCACTTTGTCCTGCAAGTTGCTGACGCATCATTCTGTAAACATCGAATTGATAGTCGCCCTTGCCTTTGAAAAAGTGCGGAGAATCAAGGCCTGTAAACATAGTTTGGCCACCGATCCTAGCCCTAGACAGTGTGTAATCGATGAGCTTCACTTCGACAGAGCTCTGCTCATTGAGAGTCAATTCAGCTAGAGAGTCCTGAGTGGTAGCAGTATGAGCACTGCCTTCAGACCGTTCTTTGATGACGATGTTACCCCAATGCAAATCACGGTGCTCGAATTCATAAGCGTCCTGTCCTCTTTTTAAGATCTCGACGATCCTGACAAAGATTTCTAATGCTTGAGTCCAACTTTTGAGCTCAAAATGTTCTAAATCTTGTCCCCCATACTCTAAGCGGATAATGAGATGAAGCTGACTTTTGGAGTACTCATCTGGCCGTGTGTTGTTGGAACCGTACTTATGATTGTACTTATCCCAAAGTTGCAATAACTCGGGAGGCATTGGGCCTCTCACAACAGTTGCAGACTTCATCTTAATGAATCCCGGCACAGAAGACATGGCCATGGTGATGCTTTGCTCCTGGATCAACTCTTTCAGTGTTGGCTGATTCAGATTCTCGTCGCCAAACGAGATTACTTTCCAAACGCTTTGAGGATCCCCGGTATGGGAGTCTCTTTCCAGAAAGACCTCACTGTAGGAAGAATCGGTGAGTTTCTCCAAAACCTTGGCTTTGGATAGCATCTTGTTCATCAATGAGTTGAAAGACACAACGCGTTGTTGATTGCAAAGCTTCAAAAGTAGCTTGTGCTGAAGGGAATCGTATTCTTCAGCACGAATAGCAAACACTTCCTTGTTCTCACAGCGAGTGCGAGTGCTTCCTGTGGACATGAAGGAAGAGATGGAGAGCAAAGACGAAGAGTTCCTGAGTTTGTTTTTGATTTTGTCCCTCGAGGTTTGGTTAGGCACTGGTAAAGAGATATCAACCGACATTCTGGAATTATTAGCCGTACCACCGACGAACGACTTTCTCAAATTGTTGAGGGTAAGTCTGCGAGAGGAAGAAGAAGAAAGCGTAGGTTCGTCGCGGGACGTAAGCGATCTTAGCGAAATGGAGTGTCTGAGTCTGAAAAAGGACGACTTTTTCTTGAGCTGCGGGGACTCGGGATCATCTTCAGGAATTGTTTGGGTATCAGCAATAATGTTTTCTGCGTTCTCGGCAGCCTCTTTGTCCCCTTTCACAGCACCGGCTATTCTGTGAGCTATCGATTTCAAGCTCGAGCCAGTGGATCGTGTCGATACCGATGAGGTGGTGGCAAGCGATAGCGTAGACAGCCGATTATTCTTCTTCTCTTCTCGTTCTGACAACTTGTTTATTGTTGTCTCCGCAAGAGCCCGTTTTCTGTCCGCACTAGGAGCCCCTCTGAGCCGGCTCAATGTGTCTCCACGGTTATCCTGATGTATCTCAAAGGAGCGGTTTTCTTGTAGAAGCTCATTTAAAGAGAGAGAGCCCGATTTGGTTGGAAGTCTGCTAATTCTCTTATGAGAGCCAAACGAAGGCACGGTTGGGCCAGGTGACCCTGTAAGGCTTGCAGAGCCCGAAAGAACCATGCCATGTCTTTTGTTGGACGCTAGCATGTCCACAAATACGTTTTGTTACACGTCACTTCTCAAATTTAGATATCTGAGGTTGTTTATTTGTAAATTAAAACAAAATGTATGAATTACTATGGAATATTATGTTGAGCTTGCTATATGCGGAAAGTTGTAAATATTTTGCACCAGCCACCGCGACACAGCCATCAAGCATTATTTACTGTTTTTATTTACTTGTAACCAGCTCATGGACCACGATTTTAGAACCTCGGTTATTCGCAAACCGAGCGCCAAACAGCTCGGGCAACAGCTTAGCCAGCATAGACTCGATGACTTGTTTGGCAGATCGCAGCTTTCGACGGTACGTGAGACAGAGTCGGAACACGCGCCTCAAAGGCTACTGAAAACCAAAAAGTCCAAGTTGCTCGCCAAATACAAAGATGACGACTTAGAAGACGACCAATGGGAGCAGTTCGAAAACATAGATTTGGGAGCGCGGCTAAAGCAGCGCCGAGAACACAAAGACACATTTGCACCGCGCTCCCAAAGCAGCCTTTCCATCTCGTCAGGATTCAGCAGCGTGTCTGCCAATAGCTCTCACTTCGTCGAGTCTGATACAGAACACAGCGACTATGCTGAAGATTTTGATGATCTAGAGCAAAATCTGAATCTGGCCCAAAAATTGGAGCTTCGTCGCCAACAGGCAGAGAAGCTAGCAGATATCACGCGACGCGCCTCCAGATTATATCTGGATGATGAACGTACCTATGAAGATGATTTCGACAACTTCCAGTCATCGGGACCAAACGTTCGACAGTTTAAAGTGGTGAGCCCGAGAAAGGTGCGCAGTAAGACTTCCGCTCCGGTTCTTTCAAACGACCTCGGTCGCCGCTCTCTCCGCAAGTCGTCCTCCACAATGGACATTCCTCGCTCGAGTCTTTCGCGCTCTCTGCATCGCACTATGTCAACGGTAGACTTGATGCCGATGGCCCGCGTTAAGAAATATACATCAGAGTTCGAAGAGACTGACGATTATCCAGAAGACTTGACCATTACTCTCTCCGATTACAAAAGACTGAAACGCAAGAGTCGCGCTCTGGATCTTTCTAAATATGCAGAGAAGGATACCCGTTCTCGTCGTACTCACTTCACAGATCCGTCAGTGACTAATAGCACACGATTAACCAAGGAAGGGAAGCTCAAGATGATTCGATCACTGGGACGGGCAAGGGCTCGTCAAGTGATGGGTGGCATGATCTACGATCCGGAGGAAATGAAGTGGCAGGGTAATGAAGACGACTTGAGCCTGTTCGAGTCGCAGATCTCTAGAAGACCAGCGCCATCAAAAAAGTCTTCGATGCAACGCAGCCAGAGTAGCAAGAATTTGCAAGTTGTCGGAAACATGATATACGATGACGAAAACCTTCGCTGGGTTAGCATGACAGGCAAATACGAAGATGACCCCTTCGCGAATTTTGATGATACCATCAAAGATCCTCCAAAGAGAAAGAAAGAGCCCAAAAATGTACCTAAAACTGCCCATACCGAGCACTTCCTCATATCGGACGATCTGTACAAAAGTTGGAAGCAAGAACACCAGCGCTGGGTGCGCAAGGTCAGCAACTGGTTTCCTACTGACGACGAGGGATTTGCTTACTGCTATGAGTTAAAGACATTCTTAAATGATAATTAGAAAATAAAGCTATTGATAATCCCAAATAGGAAAAAATTCAGATTTATGTTCTTTCGAGGTGGATTAATTAGCGACCCGCTAGGCCTTGTTTCAAACCGAGAGAAACTATCTGACAAACCTCAGACACAGCAATTCATTGAGAAGACAGAAAAGGCAATTTCTTGGAGCCAAGTACCTCCTTGGTCCTGGTCAGTTTTCCTTATTTGGCCGAGGAATCTGATCTGACTAAAGATACCAGAACTACCTGACAAGACTCTAGCACCGGTTCCAATTATAGAATCCAAGCCATGGGTTTCAGATTACCTGTCAGAATTATATAAAGACCAAGGAGTCTTGGTTTCTGTGTCATTGACCAGTGCTATGAAATTCGCTCATTTAATCACTTTCCTGCCTCTAGCGCAGGCCCTTCCGCTCGCTAAGCGAGACGGCACCGAACTGGTCATTCGGAATCGACTGGGGAATTACTACGAGATTGAAGGTACCGTCGGCGACTACTTCACCAACCTTTCATTCGTTATCAATTCTGGCCAAGACGATTCTTGGGTTTCGTCTGACCAGTTCAATACTAATCTATCGAACACTTTTACGTCGTCAACAGAAGAGTTTTGTTTCCAGGATTTTGTCACAGGCATGACTGTGTCGGGTGTGTATGGCTCGGACACGGTGTCCTTTGAATCTCAAGACATCGACAGCCTGAAATTTGGAGTTGCCACCACTAACCAGGCTGGCTACAGCGCATCTTTGGGGCTCGGTAGTTCGAGCTCGTTCATTGAGGCCCTCTACAACGCTGGCAAAATTACAAGCAGAATTGTGTCCATCTGGTTGCAGAACAATAGATCTCCTGGCAAGATCAACTTTGGTGGCACAGACAGTTCTCTTTATTCCGGCAGCTTGACCTACGTCGACCTGATCGGCTACGAGACCGACAAGACAAACGGCGGCTATTTTGTTTCACTGGACGCAATTGAGACATCATCCGGCTCTAAGCTCGCTAGCGAACAGACCGGCTACATCGACACTGCTTCTGTTTTGTCTTACGTGCCGTCTGAAGTTCTCCGGCAAATCACCGACGACTTGCAAGCCAGCGTTGACCAGACCAGTGGTCTATGGACAGTTGACTGTGGCACAATTGAGACCACTGACTTGAGATACAAGCTTGTTTTTGGCAGCACTGAAATCGAAGTCCAGGCCAATCAGCTATTTTTCCAGGAGTCCAGCACCTGTTACCTGACAGTGACAGAGACTCAAATTGACGGCGTTGTTGTTCTGGGCCAGTCTTTCCTTACAAGCATTTACTTGGTCTTTGATCTGGACAAGCAACAGGTTGGCTTGGCGCAGGTTGACGTGGATAAGAATGTTGTCACCAGCTGCTCTCTCTGCTCTCATTCGAGCACAAGCAGCAGCAGCAGCAGCTCCTTGACTACTCCTTCCACCTCCTCAGCGTCCTCTACAACGAGCAGCATCAGCACCACCACGAGTTCAAGCAGCATGAGCACCACTAGCTCCAGCTCTAGCTTCAGCACCAGCTATAATTCTACCTACAGTTCTTCGAGCCTCACCAGTTCTACGTCTTTGTCCAGCAGCACGCTGACATCAAGAACATCAACTAGCGACACCTCAAGCAGCACGGTTCCAAAAACTTCCAGTTCAAGGTTCAGCTCAACTTCTATCTCAACCACTCCGATCTCATCAGCCTCCAGCAGCACCTCTCGCAGTTTCAGCCATTCAACGTCCACTACACCTGCTTTAACCTCATCAAGCACAAGTAGCTATTGGAGTACCGCCACACCAAGCTCCAGCTCCTCAACACAGCTCTGCTCGGGATCGTTGGTCACCACAACTTATTCCACAACTATCTCCAGTGGCGATTGGACCACAATCTCTGTGATGACCAGTTACATATGCTCTTTTGCCGTCTCCAGCTTTGAAACCACCACGCAAACCACATGCACAATCTGCACAAGCACAACGCCAAGCCCGGAGGTTTCTACTGTCTCCAGCCACGAATCATCTGCTACACCTCACTCAACAGTTACTTCAAGTACAAGCAAGGACTTAAGCTCCTTCCTAACCCTTCTGACCCCATCCACCACTCCACTGCAAGTGACGACCGTCTCCAGCTCCTCTAGCCTTTCGATTTCGTCCAGTTCCAGTTCGTCTATGCCTGAGAGCCACTCAAGTACGCTCGCTTCAACCTGGATCACCAGCAGCTCCCCAGGAACACCCCCCAAGTACGAAACAACCGTGCACACCGAAAATACGGTCACGGACACACTGAGCTGCAGCACAGAAACAGCCCCAGAAAGCTCTTTTGAATCAAGCGTGACGTCCACATCCTCTTCTCAGGCACCATCTTCGTCGACCCCTACCCCTTCAGAGGTGACATCTGCAACGCTGGCCACCCAGTCCACGCAGACCGTCACCGAAGACTGCTCGTGCTATACCTCAGTCTACGTTTCGTCTGGAACCACTATCTTCACAGTCGTCTCGACTCGCACCAGCACTTACCCTGGTATCGTGATTTCTTCCACCAGCAGCTCTCTGCAATCTCTTACTAAATCACAAACACCTAGACAGTCGTCCCTGGCAGACTTTTCTTTGGTCAGCTCTTCATCCACTTCATCAGCTCATTCCGTCCTGACTTTTGCAGGAGCCGGCGTGCGAAACCAGCTAAGCCTCGCTGCCGTTCTCCCTGTGTTGTTTTATGTTCTCTAATTCATATCTTTATGCTATTTAAATGCAATCTGTAACCTGCCCTAATTAAAAAGTGGTACCCGGATTGGTGTGTCTCACAGTTTTGGCTCTATTCACCACAAATCCCGTCTCTCCTGTCGAATTTTTGTTGAAGCCGCTCAGGTCCTCATCGTCGTCTTCGCCGAAATCGCCGCCGTTTTTGTCTCTATTCCAAAACGCCAGCTTCGAGAGCCAGCCGCTTTCCATCAGGCCCACCATACGGCCGTTGGAGTCAACATAGTAGTCGGTCTTCGGCTTCCGTTTCTTGTAGATGAGAAACAGCGCAAACAAGAGCAGCAGTAGCAGCGGCACACCAAGCCCAACGACCACTCCGATCACGATTTTTTTGTTCTTCGACGAAAGACCACCCGAAGACTGATCTGAGTTTTCATTCACTGAGGATGACGGCGACGACGAGGCCCTGACAGGCGTGGACGAAGACGACTCGGACGTAGATGACGACGCGGAGACTTCCGAGGTTTGAGAGGAAGCTGAGGTTGTGGAGGAAGCTTCTTCAGACGACGTAGTTGGCGATGAGGACTCTGTAGTTGACTCAGAGCTTGATGTATTTGCAGAGCTCGAGGCCGATTGCGAGTACGAGCTTGATGCTGTGGACGATGGCTGGGTATCTGAAGTGGAGGAAGACTCGGTACCGGATGACGACTCGTTCTGGGTACTCTGATCCGAAGACGACTGTTCACCCTCTGAGCCCGAGGATGAGGAGGAGCTCGAAGAAGATGATATTGTCGGGGAAGATGCCGCCAACGAAGTTTGTGTGATCCGGATGGTTGTTTGACTGTTGGATGTATCAGACGTGTATGAGCTGGAAACAGTACTCGAGATCGTCGATGACTGGGAGGTGGATGGCTCGTTGCTTGAGCTCTGTGTGCTGCTGGACTCCTCAGAGAAGCTGGTCAAAAGGGTCGTGAGCGATGTCAATGAGGAAGACGACGACGAGAACGAAGAGAATGACGAAGTCGGCTCATCATCGGAAGTGTCAAAAAATGTGGAGTCAGTGGAGCTGCTGTCGCCGAAGTCACTGGAGCTGCTAGAAGTGCTATTGTTGTCGTCCTTTCTGATCAAGCGGAACTTGACGACCCCTGCGTCCGTGGTTTGGTCATCGGATAGGGCAACCAGTGATGGGACTTGTTTATTTAGCAGAATCGGTGTCAGCACAAAAAAGACCAAAGTCACCAGCAGAATGATCCACGCAAGGATGTCTATCACCGATCCCCGCGACGAAGGTGATCTCGTTTTCATAGATGTAAGTACAAAGGTCCTTGGCTTCTGATCCAAGATCACGGCTAAAATTAGAAAAAAAAACTTCTACACGTTGTTTCTTTTAAGCTCGAGATTGTAAATAAAACACTAGAAATATCATTAAATCAAAGCACCGTTACTTACACTTATTTAGACACATCCAATGGGGTCAATCTCAAGTATGGCTTGATCGTTCTGAATTTAGGGAACAGGGTCTTGGCCTCTTCGTTGGAGACGCTTGGGTGGACAATGACATCGTCACCTGGAACCCAGTTGATAGGAGTGGTGACTCTGTACTTGTCTCCGGTTTGCAGGGAGTCAATAACTCTCAGGACCTCAGCAGTGTTTCTACCAGTAGAAGCTGGATAGGTCATGATCAGTCTGATGGTCTTCTTTGGGTCGATGATGAAGACAGATCTGATGGTGAGTTGGACACCCTTGTCGTCAACGTTGGTAGCATCTTGGAAGTCTATCATGTCGTACTTCAGAGCGATTTCTCTCTTAGGGTCGGCAATGATTGGGAAAGTAAGCTTGGAGCCGGTCACCTCGTCGATATCCTTGATCCAGGCCTTGTGAGAGTTGGTATCGTTAGCAGAGAGACCAATAAGCTTCACACCTCTCTTGGCGAACTCTGGCTCCAGTTTGGCAAAAGCACCAAGCTCGGTGGTGCAAACTGGGGTGAAGTCGTCTGGGTGGGAGAACAGAACAGCCCAGGAGTCGCCAATGTAGTCGTGGAAGGAAATTGGGCCATTAGAGGTGTCGGCCGTGAAGTCTGGAGCAGTAGATCCGAGTCTGAGAGTTCCGTTGTCTGGCTTTGGGATTGACATGATGAAAAGTTATGGAAGAGAGCAAGGAGGCGAGAATGGCGGTTTTATACCATTCTTGCCATTCTTGCCAGATCTTGCAGAATTGTCATATGTCACGTGAAAAGTTAAAAACTTCACCAGCTCGGGGAATGGGGTTTTTCACAGCTCGGGTTGCAATCCAGACAATTTGCTTACCTAAATCGGGAAGCGGATCAAGATAGCTACATTGATCTTTAGTCATAGTTCGAACTGTTTATTCTTCAAACATGCCGTTCCTAAAAAGGAATAAATATCAAAACCCAAGTCCTTCGGGACCACACCTTCTGTACATAGATTAGTTGTTCTCTGGTCTCAGCTTTCTGACCTCTTTTCCGACCTTCCAGATTTCCATGTTTCTGATGGTCTGCAGCTCCTCCTCCAATCTCTCTCTGTAGTCAGCTTGGGAGTTGAACTCCAGAGATCTCTTGGTCTCCGAGCCGTCCTTCACAGAGGTGTACAATTTTTGGAAGACTGGCTTCAAAGCGTCCTTGAAGACTGGGTACCAGTCCAGAGCACCTCTTCTAGCGGTGGTGGAGCAGGCATCATACATGTAATCCATACCGTACTTTCCGATCAATGGGTACAAGGATTGGGTAGCCTCCTCGACAGTCTCGTTGAAGGCCTCCGATGGAGAGTGGCCGTTCTCTCTCAGAACCTCGTATTGAGCAAGGAACATACCGTGGATACCTCCCATAAGACATCCTCTCTCACCGTACAGGTCAGAGTTAACCTCTCTCTCGAAGGTGGTCTGGTAAACATAACCAGATCCAATGGCGACGGCCAGGGCAATGGCTTTCTCCTCGGCCTTGCCAGTAACGTCGTTCCAGACGGCGTAAGAAGAGTTGATACCTCTGCCCTCCTTGAAGAGCGATCTCACAGTTCTACCGGAACCCTTTGGAGCAGCTAGGATCACGTCGATATTGGTTGGTGGCACAACGTGCGTCAACTCCTTGAAAACAGGAGAGAATCCGTGGGAGAAATACAGGGTCTTACCCTCAGTGAGCAATGGCTTGATGGTAGGCCAGGTCTCGGACTGAGCAGCGTCAGAAAGCAAGTTCATGACGATGGTTCCCTTCTTGATGGCCTCGGTGACGTCGAACAAGTTCTCACCTGGAACCCATCCGTCCTCAATTGCAGCCTTCCAAGAAGCACCGTTCTTTCTGACACCAATGATGACGTTCAGACCGTTGTCTCTCAAGTTCAAACCTTGGCCGTAGCCTTGAGAACCGTAACCAATCAGAGCAAGAGTGTCATTCTTAAAGTACTCGAGCAGCTTCTCTCTTGGCCAGTCGGCTCTCTCATGGACGATCTCCTCGACACCGCCAAAGTTGATCTTCTTGATACCTCTGACACCAGACACTTGGGCTCTGGCCAAAGTTGGTCTGACAGATCTGGTAGCGCTAGAGAGGGCTCTTCTGGATATAGCCGCAGCGGCTCTGGAACCGGCTGTTCTGGATATTCTGGCAACGTACATAGTGATGATGAGTTGGAAAGTATTGATTGAAAAAACGCTGGAAAATTTTTCCATTTTGTAGCAGTAGTCACCGGCCCGGTAGCGGATTCATGAAATAAAAAAGTTCAAGCTGATCACCTTTACACCTGTACCCCACTTCAAAATTATCTTTAATGTCTGTTTCTTTCGCAAGGACGGTCAAAAACATCTGGCGGAACGGCCTCAAGAGGTCTCTTCGCCAGATCGCAATGATCAATGACACAAAGTCTGGAGTTTTTGTTGGCGAGGACGATTTTGGGAATAAATTCTACGAAACTAAAGACCCTGACGAGATTCATATGAGAACAAGGTGGGTCGAGTACAAGAACTTCTGGGACTACGATGTGTCGCATATCGAGCCAGGCTGGCATTACTGGTTGGCTTACGGAACAGATACGCCTCCATCGAAACTGAAGCCCGAAGAAAAAGCGATTACTTATTCATTGAATAAAGTTCACCACTACAACTACACGCAGACCAAAGGAGCCTTTGTGACGTACAACACTGCCAAGCCAAAAATTGCTGAATGGGACGCCAAAGTCACGCAACGTGTCTAGGTTCATCTATTTATTTATTTATTTATTATAACCGCATTATTCTTTCGCAAAAGTAGCAGCCACAATCAACGGCAACACCAATGACACATCGGCGAAAACCTTGACGCTCTTGGCATCGGCCTTGATTTTGCCCCAGGACACAGCCTCATCAGGACGAGCTCCAGCATCCGAGCCATCGAACTCCTGGCCGGTATTGATATAGACAGCGTAATCTGCCCCGTTTCTCATCAAGCAAGCGTTACAAATATGGTGCTTGATCAGACCACCTCCGAGGATCAGCATTCCTGCGCGCGAGGCCTCCATGGACAAAGAATTGATCCGTCTGATATCCTGCACGATATCGATTCTCAGCTGCTTGGGAGAAGCCTTGAAAGTGTGAAAGAAAAGCATATCACCAATACTTCCGTCGGTCAACGCTGGGCAAAAAATCGGGATCTGATTTTTGTGGGCCCAGTACAAGACTGACGACTCATCATTAATCTCTTTTCCCAAACGATCAATGACTTTGGACGGTGTCCAGAAAGGGACATCGGCGTCCAGAGCATTGGAACCGTTTTTGGCAGCAGAAGCTTCTTGTTCCTCTAGCATCTTGTCCAAAACAGGCACAATCCACTCCTCAAATTTACAGTAGTTGTCGTTAGGCACAATCAGGTTGCCAATTCTGTTCATACCATCATCTCTGAGCTGTTTTCCTGGCAGAGCAAAGTCGCCCATGTAAGTTGGAGCAAGACATTTGATCAGGTCTTCCTCAATTCCTCCAGCCGATGCAACAATGGCGGACACCATCTTGTGTTGCACCAGGAAACGTAGGGTGTCTCTGAGACCGGAGGAGATCAAATTCGAGGTGTACCCCATGAAAATGGTCGTTTTCTGGTACCCGTTCTCGTCGAACTCTCCTTTGCGCTCGTGCTCGGCAAGTTCTGAAATGTGCTTTCCTCTCCAGGTCCTCATTTCGTCAATAATTTCGCAAGCCTTTGCCAGAGAAGAGCCTTGGAAGCCCATGGTCTTCATGGAGTCGATAAGGTCGGAGGCACGGGCGTTCCGGCTCTCAGGCTTCGAGTAGTCGACACCCTTCACTTCCTGAAAGTGTTCAGGGACAGGTGCGGATTGCTTCAGAACAGCATCTGTGGCTAGATCAAAGAACCCAGGCATACTTTTCCGAGAGATAATTTTTCACAATTTATCTGGCTGGTTCTTACGTAAGTGTCGACTGATAAAAAAAACAAAAAACTGTTTAATTTTGCACAACTCTACACCGCAAGAGCCCTGAATTTGAGAGGCATGTCTCCAGATTTTGGAATCGTCGTGTAGATATCTTTCATTTGTGCGTTCGCTTCGTAGTTGTACCCATCGACTAGGGACACCTCGTACCTGCTAACCACGTTGCTGACACATAGCTTGATTTCGCAGGTAGCAATGTGCAACCCTAGACACATGCGGGAGCCAGACCCAAACTGCATCATCTGCCTGTTCATTGTTGCTAGTTTTTGCTCGTCGTCAACAAGCCACCTGTCCGGATTGAACACTTCGGGTTGCTCAAAGACAGCTGGGTCGCGGTGCAACGACCACGGCTGCATGACAACGATAGTTCCTTCAGGGATATATGTCGATGGTGTTTCTTTGGAGCCTCTCCAGCGGAAGCCCCCTTTAGGAGCTCGACGGGGCTCCTGGCCAGGGATGGCTGCGTAAACACGGAAGACTTCCTGCGTCAATGCCGATAAATATGGAAGATGCTCTATGTCGGAGTATAACAGCGACCCGTGGTCGCCGGTTGCAAGGTTTCCTCCATTCAGACCTGCGAGCTCAGCCCTGAGTCTTTCCTGCTTCTCAGGGTCACGTGCCAGTTCGTAGAAAAAGTAGCTAAGCGTTGTCCCCGTGGTGTTGTGGCCAGCAGCAACGTGGTCGAAAATCTCAGACCGTGCCCGACGAGCGTCAAACAGTCGTGCGCCGTTCGTCCCCATAAGGACACCGACCAGTGTGTTTGTGTTTCCGGAATCTTTCTCCAAGCACTCGCTGAACTGGCTGTTGATCCAGTCGCAGGCAATTTTGGATGCCTTGCGAACGTACGAAGGGACCGCCCAGTCGTACAGCTGTGGCATCTGAGTAGTCCAGAACCACGACGATGACTGAATCATGAAAGCTTTGATGACTGCTTCTCCTTCCCCAAAAAAATCATCCAGCAGCGACTTGCACACCTTGCTTCCGAACGAAAAACTCGTGATGGTGTCCATTGCCATGACAGACCACAAATGAAACGTGTTGAGTCGTTTGTCCTGGTTTTGTTCGAGCATTTTGAGGAGAGAGCTCATCACGGTCCGGATTTTCGCCTGAAACGGTTCCGAAACAACATTAGATTTGGAGTAAAGCTTGGCAGACACCTTCCTGCTATCTCTGTGCGTTTTTTTCTCGACAGTGGAGAAAGTATTGAAGGAGCCAAAATTGGCGAATTGAGTGTAGAAACTGGTCTTATCAAAATTATTGATATAGATATCTTTGAGATATTCAGGGTCAGAGATATCAATTTCTTCGGGGCCAATCCTCACTATGGGTCCATACTTCTTGTGGAGTTGGTGGACGTACCTGTTTCGGTGTTCTGACCAGCTGATAAAAAGGATCCAGTATTTCGTCAGTGCGCATATTTTAGGACCAGGAATTCTCGCGAGAGGATGGAAGTAAAGAGGGTAAAGCAGAAGTGTGTAGATCCCATAGCTGATCACAGCTGCCTCTATGGCCGTGATCAGCTCCTCGTGGTACTGAGCGGCGAACTGGGCCAACATAATGAGTAATCCAAATTTTGGATTGGCTTTTCGCGATAAGCTCCTAGGTAGCGGGAGCGAAATTTTGGCGCGTTGCTCAAAAACAGAAGCTGGTAGCACTAGGCACAAAAGTCACTATTGCGATGCTAGGAGAAGTAGTGCAAGGAAAGCAAACAGTCAGGCTTGGATGGAGACAGTTTCTGGGTTAGTCTTGCTAGCTCAAGCCGTTCGTCCATCTGGCCGAAAGATAGGAACAGCCTATACCGACGCGTCGACCAGTGTTCCGTGAAATAATTTTTGCGTCTACATTTCTTACATGTTCAGGACTGTGTTACGACACGCACCTTTTCGCTCGGTCTTGGGCCTGAATTTCCAGCATGTTCGCGTGCCCGCGCTCAGATGGCATCGATTGCTGGCGACATCCGTCCCCCCTGCGCGCAAGGTGATTCGCCGTGCTCCGAACGACTCATTACTTAGTCAGTCTTATGCCATTCCTGACGAGCCGTCCAAAACATCCCATCAGGGCCTTCCCTTGCGTCCCTGCATTGCAGTCACAGCATGCGAGGAATTCGATTTAGAAAAGGTGCGGTCCTCCCTTTCCGAGCACCACATCGAGTCGGAGGAGATTGTGCGCAACGAGGCTGTCCATTATCAGATCAAAGACGCTCCCGTCCGCACAGACGTCTTCGTGTTACGCTCGGGAACGGTGGTATCGTGGGGAATGCCAGAGCAGGACGTTCTTGACAAAGTCTTGCCCCTCCTGCGGAGCTCCATGAACACCCTCTATGAGATCCAGACTGAAGACCTGGATTACATAGAATACGAGTTAGGACAGGAAAAAGAAGGCCAAACGTCCACGATAGACCACGAGATCATATGCATCAAGGGCGAGCCGCGCCAAAAAATGCTGGACAAATTAGCGTTTTCGTATGGTATATCGAGATCGACCAGGCTTGCAGTTTTGGAGTCGTCACTGGAAAAACATATTCAGCTGACACGAAACACGACGGAAAATTTGTCACAGGGAAAACAGCTAGGAATTGGTGCGCGGGAGGTGCTGCAGTCGTCCGGAAAATTACTGCTGCTACGCGGAAAATTGAATCTGTACTCTGAGCTAGTTGAGACGCCAGACCTGTACTGGACGGAGCCGAACTTGGAAAAAATATACAACCACGTCTCAAGAATCCTGGACGTGAATACGCGTATCAGCATTCTCAACAGAAAACTGGATTATTGCTCTGACGAAGCACGGGCTCTGCTCGAGATCCTTACCACGCGGAAAGGCACGAGGCTGGAATGGATTGTGATTTATCTTATTATGATTGAAGTCTTGTTTGAAATGCACCACTTCTACGAACGGTATGAGGAACATCAAAAAGAAAAGGAACTGCTTGTAAATAGTGTATAAATCTCTATAAAAAAATATCTATGACGTCATATGACGTAGGGAAGCAAGTTTCTTTTTTTTTTTTCCCGATGGGACGGTTGCAGCAGAGGACAAGGACAGCTCAGTTCTTCCTGTCGAGGACTTCAAGCTCCAGTTCAATAACTCTGTCCTTGAAAGACTTGACTTTCACTTTGGAAAGGTCCTGGATGACGTAGGTGGCACCGTTCTCATACAGCTTCTCTGCATCAAAAGTAGAAGCAATACCAACCACGGTAGCACCAGACGCTAGACCTGCCTTAATACCTGCAGGAGCATCCTCGAACACAACTACCTTCTCGATTGGGTATCCCAGTCTCTCGCTCAGCAGGCGGGCACCCCTTTTGTAACCTTCGGGATCAGGCTTCCCGACACTCACGTCCTCAGCGACGATGAAAATATCGGGCTTCTCAACGCCGGCCTCGTGTAAAACGTTCTGAAAATGGCCATGCGCCAAGACTGAAGAGCCACTGGTGACAATGCAGAATGGTTTCCCAGGAAGCTTGTGCAACTCCTTGAACAGATCACCTGCTCCGTTGATCGGGTAGTTCAGCTTTCCGTAGGTCATAGACACAAGTCTGTCAAAGTCGTAAGCGCCATCTATTATAGCCTGCTCATTTTCGAACTTGTCCGAAAGGTACTTTCTGAACACATCACTCACTCTCACCCCGTGAACCTTGTGGAAGAAGTCTCCGTCCTCGTTCAGGTGAGGGTAAGTCGCCAAAAGATCGGCCCAAGACTTTTCGATGGCCTCTGTGGAGTCCACGATGGTGCCGTCAAGGTCAAATTCGAGAGCGTTAACAGGTAACAGCTGAGTTGACATTATTAAAGAAGATCAAGATTTTTATCCCACGGCCTGCAACCCTTAAATAGATCGATCTACTAGGGCTCGTAACCTTTTTTTGAGCTAGCTTCACCTTGCAGAAAAACAAACGTTTGGAATTTGAAAGGAGCAAGAGCAGAAACAACTCGAATATGTTTTCCTCTAGAAGACTTTCGAGGCCTGCTCAGCAGCCACCAGCTGCCCCAACGTCAGGAGCACTGGCTGCGGCCACGGTAATTGGTAAGGCTCTGAAGGAGAACGACCACAAGCCGGGCCCTCTGAATTTACCTAAGCAACCTCAAAGAAACTCCCAGGCACACCGCAGTGCAAGTCTCTTGGGCACGACACGCGCCGCTAGTGCCACTTCGAATACCAGCAGGCCGGCTTCGCGGACAGGCAGTCTAAAAAACATTCCAAACTCGCCAGTCGCACAGACAAGACCTATAAGATCCTCCTATGCAGTACCTAAGCGAGCCCAGAGTTTGACAGGTGCCGGGACTCGCAATCAACAGCCCCATCGTCATCAGGGGCCTTTCAATGGGTCCAGCACGCATTACGAAGGATTTGACATGGAGTCGCCGGCTGCGTCCGCTCCACCAAAAATGGTGAAAAAATGGGTTCCATCAGCCCACGGTCTAGTCTGTATTGAAGTTCCTGCAGAGCAATCCGCCAAAGAGTCTGCCAATGCCCGCAGAATTGTGGCCCGCTCTGCATCCATGAACTCCTTATCGAGTCGGGCCAGAAACCAAAGACTTGCAGCAAAGTCCGGTCCACCGCCTACACAAAAGAAAAGCGTGCAGGGCATGTATACGCAGAAATCTCAAATGTCCGCTGGTCCCACTATTGTGGAAGACGAGACTGAGGACAGGAAAGAAACAGCAGAGCATAACGTCCCGCCTAAATCTGACACCATTGCTGTCAAATCTGACTCTGCTGAATCGCATGAAGCTCCGAAGGAAGAGGCTAATGACTATACAGAAGATGAACGGGAGCTGGCTGAACAAAAGCTGGAGGAGCTTGTCAGACAGAAAGAGCAGGATATATTGCAGTCGGTGCTGCAACAACAAGAGCTGGAAGCTTCACATTCTTTGGTATCCGTGTCCAACGAGTCGGTGTCCATCCAAAATCCGCAGGCCACATCGAATCTCTCCAAGGCGTCCCTCTCGGGATCCTCCAATGGCTATGACGAGGTTGCCTTTGTCGATGGATACTCCGGTGGCTCCACCGACAATCTTAACGCGAAAGAACATTCGGAAAATGCGGAAAATGCGGACGAGTCTTTGCTGACAGGCACCAGTGCTGACCATACTTTCCAAGAAAGCGATACTGCCACCTCAAACACCACACAGGACATGGACCAGACCATGGCTCAACGGCTCAGACCGACGCTTGGGTTCCAGAGATCGTCACAAGAGCAGATTTCCAGTGCATCGCAACCTGCCGATGATCCGGAAATTCCAGCTCGCTCTCCCAAGAGACCTTCCATCAGCAAGTTGGAAGACATTGACGGTTCTTTGAGCGCCACGCCGGAAAGAGTACCCGGATCTGCTGCCGAGATACCAAAGAGAAAATCCGTTCTGAAAAACACCAATAGCTCGTCCAAGTCTGCGAATGATGTGTCAGCTTCTTCTCCTGCCTACCTCTCATTGGCCACAGCCGAGAACACCAGATTGAACGCAATGGCTTCTTCGTCGTCTCTAAATTTGTCGCAGCAACCTCGCGCATCTCCATCACAAAAGAGAGTTCCTCAACCAGAAAGGGTAACCAGGCAACCTGCTAACGAGCACAAAGGAATGCGCCTCAGTTTGCGTAACACGCAGACGGCCCCCCAAAGAGGAAGGCGTGACTCTGTTGGCGGTCTACCACCCAACAACTCATCAACGCCCGCGCATCTAGCAGCAGCTACGCGAGCCGCAGCAGCTACGCGAGCCGCACAACACCACAATCCAGAACAATTTGAAGCAACTCAGATGGCAAAGAAACACGAGTACAAGGCCTCGCCCAGGACGGAGGCTCAATTGCGCGCGGCTGAACTTTACAAGAAGGCCAACGAGAGAACAAGTCGCCACGAATCCATCCTTAATGTTCAATATGTACAACAGGTTGGCGTAAAGCTTGAGAGGACCTCCTCTTTCGAAAAGAACCAGGAGGCTAAGAGATCCAACAGGTTTACGCTGAGAGACGAGCCTGCTTTTGCGTCGGCCCAGGAACAACAAGAACAAGCGCAAGTATATCAGGTTCCATACAAATCGCGTTTCGATGACATTGATTCCGACGCTGAGGAAGGAACCGGACAGCTCAATGGCAAGCTATCTCGGAACACACTGAGAAGCGCTAGTGCAGAACAGCCGCCTACGCAGCAACAGCAGAAGCCAGCAGAGCAAAGGTTCTTTAGCGAGCAGGTTCGACAAGGCAGCGCTCCTGAAGAGAAGAAGAAGAGATTCGGCAAGCTCCGCAAGTTGTTTGGCAAGAATGCCAAGCATTGAAGAGATAAATGAGCACGCGCTATAATGCATATATGCAACTAATCTATTATACAATGAACACTATTGACCCGGAGTCTTTTCCTTAGTTTGTTGTGTATCTTTGGTTCCGCCTATTGACAGTTCGTTAAAAACATCGTTTAGGGGCGATTGGAAGTTGCCAAAGTCGTCCTCATCTTCTTCGTTGTATGATGACATTGTTTGTGCCCGTGAGGTTCTAGTGGTGACAGAACTCTGTTCAGATGTTGCAACCGACTTTGTAGCGTCGTCCATTCTCTTGCGCACCTCGTTTGCTACTCTGCGGCCATCAGCTAAAAAGTTGGTAAAGACTCCGCGCAAGTTGTCCACCACGCCAAGGCTTTCGCTCACCTTATCGTTGACATGGAACGATTTCCAAAAGTCGTGCTGGAAAAATGATTCGTACGTATCGTCCGCCAAAATTATCATTCTAAAGGTAGATGGCGTGATATACGTTGGGTTGGAAGGATCAAGAGCCTTGTTGTGCTTAAGCTTGTCTGACTCATCGTCTTCCAGATTTATGAGAGGAGTCTGTGGATCCTGCTCTTCCTGAGCATATTGAAACGCCATTTTTAAGAACTTGGAGCTGGCAGCAAGATACCTTTCGCTCTGTTTGTTCTTCCACTTCTCCTCGTTAAAACGAACTTCATGCGGAAGCCTAATTTCCTCGTCGTCGGCGTCCAGTCCTTGTTCTTTGAGTATTTTTCTGCGTTCAATAATCTTCTTTGCGATTTCGGTTTCTATCTCCTTGTTGGTGATATCGTCAAAAGTATATCCGTCCCTCCATGGAGCCGTCACGAAAATCAGATCCTCTGCAAGCTGGAGAACAGACTCGCTACGAATCTTTCCTGATCCATCATCGTACAGCTCAATGAAGTTGGAGAGTGAGTTCATGATATCCTTGTCGATCAGCTTGTTGATACCAAGAACGATAGTCTCCAAAGTGAGATGGTCCTCGCCTTTCGACCATGCAGTGAAGAGTCTTTGTAGAAACAGAGCCTGCGACGGATCTGTGTCGGGACCAACCCAATCAACCAGTTGAGCCATGAATTTCACGAACGAGTTGTAATCCATTGTGAGATTGGCCCTACCAATAGCAGCATTATTCTCCGAAATCAGAGTGTTGTAGTAGCGATCGTAAATGTTGGACAGTTGATCGTTGTTCAGGTTAGGAGTCTTGGGCAGGTTTCTAATAGCAGCCCTCTTCACAAAAATCTCTATTCCTTGAAACACCTCATTTTTGTGCTTCGAGCGGTACTGCGTGATCAGCTTGTCGTCGATCACGGAAAATTCGCGGAACGCAACCTCCCACAAGTTATCAAACTTGCTTCTCATCTTGTCAGGATTCACAAGAGAGGGTTCCGGCTCATCAAGCGTCATGAAAAAATCTTTGAAGACCGCTAAGCACTCACCGTCGTCCTCACACTTCAATAATGCTTCGCCATTTACTTTCAAGATCGCCAGGCCAACCTGAAACAACGTCCTTGGGCCATGCAAAAGCAACATGTCCACAACTCTAAATGCAAACACCAGCGGCATGGTGTTAAGAAAGAAAGAAAGGAACCACGGTAGAGACACAATGGATAGTTGAATATCCTGCTTGGCAAAGTGGTCTCCAAGAATAGGCATTGTCTTCTTCACAAGAGCCTCAAAAACTTTCTGGTCAAGCAGAACACCGTACATTGTTTGTGAGTAGTATCCCGGAATGATTCTCTCACATAGAACATAGAGACACCAAAAAACTTGTTCTTCAGACATGTAGATCAAAAGGGCAGCTGTCACAATATTCATGGCCTGGCAGTACCCGATATCCGGGTTCTTCCAAGAATATGCAGTCAGGACTCTTCGAAGCCTGTTGATACCCTCTTCCGTCTGGTATGCCGGATATTCAGGCAGAGATCTGTTGAGATCTTTTTCAATTTCCTCAATTGCAAAAGACTTCATACCGTCGAAGTCCACGAGCAGTTTGTTGTACTCGTCAAAATACTTGTATCGAAGGTAAATCGACCCGCAGCATGTCTCCCATAGCTCTCCTCGCAGCTTGTTTGGCAGTCCGTAACTTACAAGCCTGTAGAATGGTATGTTTTTGATCAGTGCAAAATTGCGTCCGTACACTCTAAAGAAGTCAAACCACTTCTTCATTTTCAGTCTGTCGTTCATTTTTTGCGCATTCCCTGGGAACTTGAACACCCATCCAAGTCCTCCTGTTGGAGGCGCGTCAATCTTCAGTCTCGACGATTTATTTTTGTAGAGCAGATACTCGGAATAAAGCCCCATCAAGAATAAATTCATTCTCGACACCTCATTGACATTCTGTTTTAGCGACCGCGTCAAGTTCTGTCCAAACCGTTCTGCCTGTGACTTGATACCCAAAAACTGTATGGTAAAGTCCAGATCACTAGTGGTGTGCAATTGAATTGCGAAATCGAAGGAGCGATGCAGTCTTTGAATTTTCTGTATCATCAGCAGCTCAATCACGAATGAACACGCGACAGGGTCGTAGGAGTCTTTGAACGTAAGAAAATTGTTCGTCAAAGTAAGTTTTCCACTGAAAACAACGGCCGAGCTCTCCGAGGACTGCTGCTGGCTCAGATGCCGAGGGCTTAGGACCACTTCGACAGACGCCTCGTCCACTATTCGCTCGCCTTCTGGTAGCCGAAAGTCCGCACAAAGAAGCTCATCTTTTCCCAGACGCTTCGATGATGTCGACCCGTCCAGGATCGTCTGTGTTTTGGTTACAATGTCCTTAAAGAAGTCCATCAGCAATAAATGACCTATGATTTATTCTCTCTCTCTATTTTATTAAGGCTACGCACAGCCAAGCTGTATAACATAAATACGATTTTATACAGACTCCTCAGAAATTTCCTCGAGCGGCTCAAAGTTTTGGATTTCCGACCCTACAGTTTCGTCAATCAACGGCCGCTCGTGTCGCCGCGGCTCGAGCACATCTGGGTCCTCGTAGTGTCCAAAATGGTCTTTGTGTCGGTGCAAGTGCGAATGCAACTTCGGAGTAGAAGACGAAACAGAGGTTCGGCGGCTCAATTCGCTCTGCAGGTCGACTTTGTAGCTCAGTAGCTGCTGAAGCTTGCTCCTTTTCTGTCGTTTGGTGATTTTATTCGCCATGATTTTTCCCGTATTCTTGAGGATGTGTCGCACAACATCTTTTTTGAAGCGCTGGAAGAAGTCTTCCTGAGACCACATCTTGTTGGTATATTCAACTTTAGGAATCTCTAGCTCAAGTCTGTGGACATCCACCACTTTGTACGACCCTTGACCCTTAAAGCTAAGTACCAGATGTAGCGGATCGATGGTGATTCTATTGAGAAGCTGGTACTTCTTTGATCTTTCCACCATCTGGCTAATGTACTGCTTTTCGTCTGCGTTTTCGTTGTTTTTGTGGCCCAAAAAGTGGATCGAGCTAAATTCAGACGTAGTAGAGGTTGGGCTTCCTTGTCGGTCATGTTTTCTCTTTGACAGCATCCGACCCATTTTTTTGAGTTTTCCCTCACCATTTGCTGAGCGGTCAGAGAAGATGGAGCTTGATGAATCAAAACTCGTTCGCGAAGACGGAGTTTCGGCGCTAACCGAATCCACTATAGACGACGACTCGTCGTCGCTCGACTCCGTGTCAAGGTCTGAAACCTGTTTCGGATACACGAACTTGTAAATTTCCACAGCCGTTTTAAAATCAACCTCGATTTTCAGTGGAGCAAACGTGATCGACTTGTGTTCAACAACAGGTATGCCTCCAACAGCCTCTAGCATTGTCCAGTCCACAAACACCATAGGCATGTCTGAAGAGCCTTCTTTGTGGATTTTTTCAACAATGGTTTTGTACTTCGTGTGCGGTTGAAGGTCCTCAGCGACAAAATCCTGGATAAGCACCCTGTTTCTGCTTGCTCCGTCGGGCCTTTGCTCCGTCTGGTAGCAAGACTGCTTGGCTTCCACGATGATAAATTTCTTATCATCGCTATCGAGAAGCTCTAGTCGAACATTATCCGCATTCAGTACCCACTGCCGTTCTTCGTACGAGTCGTTGTATTTCATGGCCTTTGTGTGCTGGAGATAAGAGACAAGCATTCCGAGCTCAAGATAGATTTTTTCAAGCTCAACCTCAATTTGTAGGACGTCATCTTGGTCTGGGGCATTTCCTTGCATCATCAACATGAATTTCTTACAATCGCTTAACAGCCACGCTTTCTGCTGCAAATCGAACATGCGGAACTTGATGTCGCCAAAGTCCTCAGAAACGGAGAACTTCACAAGGCTCTTGATCTTCTCTTTCATCTTTTGCTTTTCAGTCATGTTGGAGTCCATAAAACTCATGGCCAGATTGTAAATCACGTTGTATTGTTGACTGTTAGCGGTAACCACAATTTCTGGTGCCATTACCTGGATCAGCTCTCTAAATTTCGTCACGTTGCACTGATCAGTTTTCATGTATCTGAGCTTGTTAGGTTTAATAAAGATCGACCCCATGGACACGTTCCAGATGACAATTGTGTTGGCCAACAAGTTGGAGCAGTAGTACATTTCCACAGGCAGCTGTGGAGGCCAAGTCGACTGAGCCCAGAACAGTTTGTAATGTCCACTCAGAGTCTTGTCCTTGTCCAGAACGTAGAAAAATGCATCCCGCAGAATGATTCCATTTCTGCTCTCAATAGGAATGCTTTCTTCGTCGTCGTGCTGCTTGAAATCGACAGATATCGAGCTCACTGTGATCTCCTTCGACGTAACAAGCACTGCACTGTTCATCTCCGTGTCAAAACAGAGCTGCGGAAGAATAAATTTGAGCAGGTACGTATCATCAAAGTCCACATCTTCCAATTCATCCGACTCTCTCAGCTTGCGTTCGAAGTTGTAGAAGTTCGGACACGATTCCATGTCCAGCGACTCGCGGTCGTCAAACCTTCCCGCCTTGCGCGGCAGACTCTGACTTTCGTACAGCTCCTCAGCAAGCTTGATAGCTCTGCGACTCAAGTTAAAGACCAGCGATTTTCTTTCAGACACGTTATCAATGTAGCTCGCAAACTTCTTCTTGGTATGCGAGCTCCATCTGAAAACCACATGGTAAATGATGAATCGGTTTCTGAACGACGACGCCGGTGGAGACGAAGGAGCAGTGCTTCTCACAGTCGGATTGCAGGATCTGCGAGATATTTTGGAATTCACCCTGGAAACAGTGTACGACGTTTCCACGTCGGAGCCCTCGTTTTCGTCGAGAAACTCGTCATAGTCTGGGATCATGCCGGCCTCAAAGCTGTCTCTTAAACAACGAGTCACGTGTAGACGAGTGTTCAGATCTTTGATTTCCTGTTCCAGCTCCTCTATGCGCTTGGCAATGGACTGGCTTTTGTCTGGATTGCTCTGTAAAGACCCCAAGGACGTCTCATGCGTTTTGATCTGTTCCTTGAGTTCTGCCGCGCGCTTGTTAGCAACAGCAAACGGTGTCCTTTCGGGATGATTCCTACCAACGAAACAGTTGTGTGTCCGTTCCTGAATAGCGGCAAAAGTGTATTGCAGTTCTGGCTCTTTTTCCTGAAGGAAGTAGCAAAAACGAGTCGATGATGCCAGCGGCGTCGCTTTCCACTGAGGATTCCTTGGCTTGATCTTGGGCGTGTCCACCTCAACAAAGTCGTCCATATCAAACCACACCACATCCTCCGCGGCGGGTCTCTCGCTCACAGAGGAGCTCGTCACATCCATGAAGGAACTGGATTCTGTGATACCTATTTCACGTGCAAGCATACCAACTGCACTGCGCTCGTTAAATTCGGCCACCAGCAGCCGTAAGTCGGTATTGACAAAATCCACTTCACCTTGATTGAACTGGAGACTAAAGTCGGGATTTTCAGAAGTACTGGTCGGACACTTGAGTTGGTGGAGATCCAGTCCAAAGCTTTCAATGGAACATTTGAGTCCTGTGAATGCCAGGTTACTGTTGGCTCGGATGTCAGTAGGGTGAATGTAGACGTGAGTCAGGTATAGCGGCTTGAGCTTGAGCGAGTAGCTAATGGAAAACAGATGCTTGCCAAACTTCGGAGACGGCCTGTAATCCAAAAACTTGTTCTTGAACATTTTTCCGTGCTTGATAGGCAGGCCCAAGCTACTCCGGAACGTATTCCACCATGTGAAAAAGTGCGAAAACGCAAGCGGAGTAAGATGGATGCTGTTATAGGAATTTGCCTCGGATGAGCTTGATTCTAAGGAAACGCACATATGGATGTAATGGCTTCGGAAGCCTTCATAGGAGTCCCAAGACTCCAGTTCTTTATCGTTTGTGAAGGTAGACGGGTTGCGAAGGCGGACTTGGTAATGAGGTTTGAACTTGCTGGTCCGCTTGACCTGACCGGGGACGTATTTTCCGACAGCACTCTCGTTGCGTTCGAAGAGAAATCCCAGTTTCCAAACGACCGGCTGACTCGACAACTTCCAGACCTTCTTCTCAGTAATGTAATCGAGCTCGTAGGGGTTTTTGTCGTCCAGCAGATACGTCAGGTTGCTGCGACTGAACCGAGGAATCACCACGTCGAACTCCTTACTCTCAACAACGAGCAACTCATCGGACCGGCCGGTGCCGTTGATCTTGAGGTCCACTTTATCCTTCCATCTGAACACAAACCCGGCTCCTTGGCCCATAAGATCGTAGGGCGAGTTCTGGCTTTTTATGAATAGATGGATGCCGTTCGTGAACGTGAAATGGAAATTAGCGTGCAACAACAGCGCAAACTTATCCCAGAATCCCAGTTTTGGACTTGGGTCGAGAGGAGGCTTGGATAAAACATCGAAACTGTCCATCGCGTACAGCAATGCCGGCTGGATCGCAGAGTACCATGAAACGATGACATTTTTCGAGGAGTTGACGTGTACTCTCATGTCTGTGAAGAATTTGACGTTCGTCATGGTCCTCGAAACATGCGAGGCAAACATGTTATCTGTACACTTAGGGTCATTGTACTGCGACACAAAGGGAACAAAATTGTACCGCAGCTCCTCGGCAACGTACATCTGCTCAGCAATAACGAAGTCACCCTTGAATGACACCGTCTGCGGAGTGTCTTCGTCACCACCACCAAACGAAATAAACGGGATTGGATAGTCTTTGAGCTGAATCGTCAGACGCGAACAGGTAATATGCATGTTAACAGGGAACAAAATACCATACTCCATATCGTACGGCATCCCTTGTCCCACCTTGTGCAGAAAGTGCTTGTAGTTTTCGAGCCCGAATGAAGGCTCCGAAAGGTCCCAGCGCAGATTGGCCAACTCAAAGGAAAAAAGGGGTGCTGCAGAGCACGCCGTGATCACCGGATACTTTTCCATGAATTTGGCAGAGACAGGCGGGTCTTCACCTCCCCTGATCGAAGAGAGACGCTTAAGGTGGGCAGACTCGCTTACTTCCCTGTGTTCCTTGACTCTGAAGATCCAAGACTTGCTGAGGTTGCTCAACAGCCGCAGTCTTGGCAGCTCGATCAGCTCCTTCACTTTCTTGAGGTATTCATTATACTGTTCGATGTCGTCACTAAACACTTCGTTGGCAAGTTGCGAGCTTACATGCGTGTGCTGAACTTTGCCAGTTGAGTTGGAATTAAAGTTTGTGGGCTTCAGGGGCTCGCCATTCACAAATGTCAAGGCAGTATATTCCCTCTGCAGCTTTTCTCTAATCTGTTTCTCGTATTTTTCGAAAGTCGCCAGTTTGGTGTTACGCATCATTTGTTCAATCCGTCCAAGTAGGAAACACTGATGGAGCTCAGCCTCGAATGGATCATCGTGCATGCAGAATTGAAATTGCTTAGCGTTTAGGCGAACGCTGGGGAATTTGAATGGACTTTCAACCTTGCTAGGCATAAGAATAGGCACGTTGAAATCCAACTCAGATTCTGGAGTAGACATAAGGTGTCGGAAGTTGGCTTCCATTTTCGTGATGGCCTTGGTCAGTGCTCTAAAGTTATCGAAGGTTTCGAAAAAGACATACTCGAATGGAATCTCAAATCTCACTGAGCGGGAGTTGATTACTGCGAGATGTTCGGCTTGAGAGTTGATGCGAATCGTTGTGTTAGCATCAGACAAAATAAATATAAGGCTCCAGGTCTGGGAGGCGTATGGACTTCTGCCATATAGTCTCAGTGCTCTGAAGCGCGCGTGGCAGTCGTCTTCGACGGTCGATAAGGCCTCCATGCGGTCCAATTCAAGTACAAGATCAATGTCGTTTGGAAGCCGGATTTTCATCATGAAAAGCTGAATTCCAAATAGGTATTTCAATGGTGGTTGGGTAGAAACCTTTTTCCTCTTAGGCAAAGACGGTATCACGGAAGTCAGTATTGTTTTGACGAAAAGCACCGACCACAAAACTTCTGCAGACAATTCTGTATCGACCAAAGGAAGCGAGAGAGAGAGCTGATGCTTGTCTTTAAAGTACTTCAGATGAGGGTTCTCGATGTTTATAAATTCCTCTAGCTCCCCGCTGTACTGCTCCGTGTCGTAGTCCTTCACCAGCTTCGCCTTGAAAAACTGAAGCTCCACATCCAGCTTCTTCATCACCAGGTCCATCTCCACTTCCAACTCTGACGCCTCAACGAAAACGCCTCTCTTGTATCTATTCATCTCAGACTGATCTACTCCGTTGTAGTACTTCACGGGGGTCTCAAAACAGGAAACAAATTTCATGTGCTGAACTTTGAGAGAGATGCGCTCTATTAATGAATTTCCTCCCTCAGACGATGAGTGTGAATTAGCATCAGGGTCTCGTCCGATATCTATCTTATGCGCGTACAATTTCTGGAATGCGCTAAGCTCCGCCAATAGGACTTCAACGGTGCCCACAAGAATGTCCGTTTGGCCAAAGAGACAGCCCTTTCGTGTTCCAAATGACACAGTGGCACTTATGTGGTCAAGGTAGAAGAACTTGGACGTTTTATCTGGCTCCACAAACGAGAATTGTATGTTGCGTATAAGGAAGCCAATCATTTTATGAACGGAGCCAGACACGCCGCTGAACAAGGAATCGTATGTGTTTGCTAGCGACGTATCAAAGGCAATGTCCTCGACCCGTGCCTTGACTGTGAGTTCTTCTGCCACTGCTATATTCACAACGGAGCTCATAAGCTGTATTCGAATCTTAATTTTGGGAAGCAGGTTTTGTAAATAGCTCGGAATCTCGATTGTCTTTTTGGGCCTTGTCCCATTTTTGCGGTCTGACTTCACTAGGTCATTTACATCCGAGTTTAAAACTAGATTGGTGGCTGACACTGTGGTTTTGAACAAAAATCTCCTTGTTGCAGCAAAACGATCAATGAATTCCTTGTCGTCTTTATTTTTCTGGATCTCCAAAATATCCCGGAGATTGCACAGAGAAAGTATATTCAAAAATGGAAGGAATAGTAACATCTTATTTGTCTCCATTTGGGTAAGCTTAAAGTTGCTGATTCCAAAGAGAACCTCGTAGATGTGTTGGTCTAGGAAATTCATGTTTGTAATCTCTTCCTCGTCCAACTTCCCCAGTGCAAAAGTGACCGTTTCAAGGAATAGGCAGTAGTTGTCTTTGGTAAGGGAAGCATTTTCACACTCCATAGAAATTCGTCTGAAAGGCAGGGCCAGTGGCTGCGACGGAAGCTCTTCCGATTTAGCGTGCTTGTTCGACTTCGGTATAAAACGCTCTAGTTCGTCGACGTCAAGTGTCACATTTTTCACGTTCAAAGTCACAGTGTAGTCGTCAAGGGAAACCGAGCCAAGAACCCTGTTGATCACCTTTCTCTGGCCGATTTTGACGGAGCCGGAGGAAAATTGCAGAGCGTTGGACATAATCTGAGCCTTCGCGCATTCTACTTCTATCAGCACCCGGTCAGTATACTGAACATTTTGCAGTTCAATGGCCAACGGGAGACGCCCCAAAAGCTTGAGAACGCGCCTATTGGTCTTTCGGCTCGAAGACCGGGCCGGTTCGCTTTTCATGTCCTCGCGTAATCTGTAAATATCTGCGCCACTCAGCACAACCGTGAGTATTGGTTCACGGTAGAAAGCTCCCATTGGATTGACCTTCAGCTGGAGTTTGTCGAGTGAGATACGGAACCGTCGGGTGTGATATGTAAACCTATGGATAGAATTCCATGATATCCAGCCGAGAGAGCCTTTCGTCCCTAGTAGAAGATTCAATGACACTAGTAAGGCCAGATAAATGACACCGAGCGCTATTAGAGTGTTCATTGGATCTTTAGACGGTACCTTAGATAGATAAACATGCACTTGCTTCACTGAAGTATTTAGGTTTTTCTGACTCTATATTTTTTTTTACATAGCATAATCACGCCTGCAGTATTCCACTGTCCATCAAGGCATTGTGGATAATGGTTTCCTTCACCACTGCAAAAGCCAGCTTCATGTTGTTGGTGTCAGTTGCCTGCGTAACGTATGGCATAATGTTCACGTTGGAGCGGTTGAGCTGACGGAACCGCCAGAGAATGTACTTGACAGCTTTGTTCACATCGTTTCCACCAACGTAGTCGGGGAAGTAGTTTTCGAGTGGCGAACGCGGCAGCTTCTCGATGAAGACGTCAATTTTGTTCAGACACAGAACAATAGACGTGCGCCGGAACCACATTGAGTTGACCACGGAGTCAAACAGATTCAGGGACTCCTCCAGTCTATTCTGGCTGCTCGACTCCAGCAGGACCTGATCGTACTCGGATAGCGCAACACAGAACATTATCACCGTCACGTTGTCAAAACAGTGGATCCACTTCTTTCTTTCTGACCTCTGGCCCCCCACGTCGTAGAGATGAATGTCGATGTCTTCCAGCTGGAACTTGGTGTCGTATATCCCGGAGGTCTGCTTCCTGGTCCTTAGCACGTCCTCCACGCTCGGAAGGTAGTTTTCGGCAAAAATGCGGTCGATGTTGTCGAAGAAATATTGTGCGGAGTCCAGAATGTAGAATTCGTTGCGTTTCTCTTCCAGCAGCTTGTTCACCACCGGTTCTTTGATCAGCTTCTTGATGAGGCCAGCCACTTCCACATTGAACTGTTCCGTTGTGTCGTCCATGGCAGTTTCGTAGGCGTCAATGGCATCCAGCTGCTGAGGCGTGAGCGATTTTAGTTCGGACTCGGCATTGAACTGTTTGATTGCCCGGACCAGCGATTGCGCACATTCGATTACGTTTTTGAATACAAAAGGCTTGAAATCGTAAAGCTCCCGCTTGGAAAATCCGTCCTGGTGGAGGATCTTGATTTGTTTCAGAATAGTGCTTTTGCCGGACTCTCCAGACCCTAGCAATAGCATTTTTACTTCCTGTTTTGGTTTATTTTTGCTCTGAGCGCCTTGTTGTTTCTCAACAGTCGTCACTGCCCCATTGGACACTGTGGCCTTATGTGGAGGGGATCCTCCTTCCTTGGATCCGCAAACACCCATCCTTAATTGTACATAGTATATTTTTCTGCCGTAGTGTTATCCATAAAATGTACCAAAAAAAAAAAAAAAAAAAAAAAAAAAAAAAAAAAAATTGTATTTTTTATTTTGTTTTTTTTTTTTTTTTATTTTTTTTTTTTTGTTTTTTTTTCTTGCTTTTTT